GAGATTTATTTCAGAATATTTTCATATGAAAGTTATGTCCTCTACAGGGGAAATAAAATTAATTTTCATGCCAAAATGAAATCCAGCACCATTCTGTCTTACTTTTATGAGAAGCCTTTTTAGTGGATTTAAAAAAAATACCAGCAGTGTTAATTGAACCAGCACCGACTATCACTGGTATCCTGTGCTGCTGCCTACGCACATGTAGTCATTTACACTTCTGTAAGGTGGAAAATGCTGTACGGAAGGGCAGCTGCATGCCACAGCTGTAAAAAGAAAAATGCAGTTCAAGGTGTAACTTAGTGTGAAAACAAACTGGATAATGCACAGATTTCAAACACAGACATTTTTCCCCAGAAATCTTGTTTTGTTTTGATTCTAACCTTCACAAATTTCAAGTCTTTAGGGCTGAAACAAGCACTGTACAAAGATAGATTGCTTTTGCTCTTTTAAAAAATTCTTGGCCAAGCAAAAGTTGTTGTCCAGCATTTCTCCAAGGTTGGATAAGTGCAGAAATGAAAGCAGGTGGAGAAAAAGTAAAAACTCATGCCTGAGAAAGAAGTGCAGAGTATAAGAGGGCAAAAGATGAGGTTTTTTGGGGAAATGATGACAACGAGAGAAGTAGAGAAATGTTAGGAGCTAGAGGAAAATATGAATATTAGCACAGATTTTGGAGGCAAGTGCTGGAATGTGTTAGTGATATAAGAAGAAATCAGAAAAAGAGAAATACAAAATGTATGGGATGAGGTTATATACAGAATGTTTCCTTCCCAAATCAGCAGCTCAGCATTGTAGCGCTGGGTCTGATGACGGCTTCAGCTGCCCACAAATGGCTCTTGAAAGTCACTTTCAAATTCTGTATCTCAGTAGCAACAGGTGTCTTCATGAGTTCAAATGGTGGAATTCTGTGCTGATGCTCTAAAGAGACAAAATCAGTAGATGGGACAAGCTTAGCACTTAGTTTTGTTCTATAGAATATGAGGTTTACGCACAGTGTATGCACAGGTCTGTTTGTTTCATGCAATCTTTAATTAGTCATGTACTGTGTCTCTTAGCCGCTTATTTTTAGGACAGTCTGCAAATGATTCAGCATGGTGTGGGGAAGACCAATACAGGGTACTTTCCTCTTCATAAAAATTCAAAGGTATATATGTGAAATAGGCAGAAGACTCCTAGAAGACAAGAGAATGGTCTCATAGTTAGGAAAATTAGCAACTATGAGAATGGGATTCTGTCCCCGCCTTTAGTGATAAGTTCCTATTAAAGATGGCCAGATTGCTTTGACCAAAATTTTCCACTGGCCACTAAGTACTCCTTTTTGGATTTTCTACAGTGGGCCAGATTGGCAGACTGTTCTTCCAGCTGCAGTTTAAGGTCACTGATAGTGTGCATTGGACAGATATAAAACCCCATACAAATACTAAGTAGTTAAGGAAAATCAGTACTCTCATTTCTTAGAGTAGAACCCAAAATCCATGGAAACTTTCACCATTTTTGCCCATTATGTCCATGCCTAGTGTTATCCTTATAAAGTGGGTATGATAGGAGGGAAAAAAACATTTCCCCTGCGGTCAGTTCCTCTTCTGAAGTCAATTAACATTTGTGAATTGCTTAGATAACTTTGGTAAAAGCTGTAATGTACTCCAGAGGAATTTATTAATTTTACTTTTTAGTATAATATTATAGGAAGTATGATTCCTGCAGAAAAAAAAAAATAGTGATTATGAAATGAAAACCATACTCAGGTTATTCTCATGATGGAGAAAAATTAATTACCTAGTGAAACTTTCAGTTTAGGAAGTCTTGAAAGTCCTTGATTTCACTATATGAGGAAGGTGTTCATTTTGGTTTGATGAAGAAAAGATGGAGAGAAAAGATGAAGGCTTTTCTGGGTAAAATATATTTCAAGAGTGAATTTCCTGTGGTTTAGGGTGATCAAAAAATAATTGATAGGCAGATTCTGTGTATGTGGAGTTCCTGACCAAGAGCATCATACCTATATTTGTTTCCATTAAAATCAAGAAAATATCTTAGATTGCTTGTAGAAATGTTTATTGTGTGTATTGCAATAAGTATTCAGTATCCACCGTTCTGAACTGGTCTGGGCCAATGGGATTGCAAAATATTTGTCAGCTTTGGCTGACAGCCTGAAGTTGCCACAGCAATTTTTTCTCTTTAATGAGTATAATAGATGGTGTTTATAGAAAAATAACTGTCTCACGAGAAGCTGTGCAGAAAGTTCCATTCAAAACCATTCTGTTTATATATAGTTTTGTTGTTTGTTTTCTTTTCTTTTTACTTACTACTGTGGACATTTGCATGAAAACAGGCTATTTCTCCTTCAAATTGCAGTCATGGACATAATAGGTACTACGCCAAAATGAAGCCAACGCACTTCAAAAAAGTAAACTATTTTGCTCACCAAATCTGTTTCTTCTGTGTATGTAAAGTTTTGAGCACTTATTTTCCTATCTAAATTTAGGGCCTGTTTTTTTGTGTGTGTGTTAGTTCTGTAAAACCAACAAAACAATATGGATATAATAATAATACACTAGCAAAAGACTAAATGAGTAAAAAACCCCAATAGCTTAAATAGCCTTCATGTTTTAGCACTTAACAGTGACAGCAGGGAAAAAGTTTTTTATTGCATGTACTGATCGGGGATTTTATACAGCTTAGCATCAGTTATAAATACTCATCAGAGAGATAAAAGGAAAAGCTGAGTCCTATTTTGGGTGATGGTGATCAATGGAATTAATAAAGGCAGGCTTCTCTTAAGAATGTCTGTGTTCTTTCTGATGGTCAAATTTTACTTTTCCAGTCTCAGGTTGAATGTAATATTCTGCCAGTTTGAAAGATACACTTTCACTGACAAGTAGCATAGCTTTTCTGGTTCAGCAGTGTTTTATAGTGCCCTTAAGATTTACTTTAGGGGTCCAAGGCTGAATGAGTGCACATTAACACTTATGTTCGTATTTGTATTTACACCACTTCACGGCTTGGTCCCTGGCTTCAGGTCCATCTGAACAGGAAATACTCTCAGCTGCCTAGATAGCCCTGTGTCATTTATTTCTCTGGCAGGAACAAGTAGGAGAGTGGGTGCAGCATACTGCCAGATCCTTAGCCCTTGTAGCCCTCATCCTAACAAAAATGTAGGCAGGAGCGTGAATCACTGAGCCTTCCAGCTGGAGGCAGCTCCAGCCAGATCAGTCTTACAACTGCTCTGCCCTGTAGAGGTTCACTTGCCCTGAGACTAGAAGACCACTGTGGCTTGTGGCATAGAGCATGCTTTTCCTGTTCTTCCTCCTCTCAGTCTAGGGTGGTTCTCTGAAAATTGATACTTACCTGTGCAAAATCTACTGGATGAAGCTGTTTGTGCAACTGTAGGATTTACAGTCACCATACCAATAAATAAATGTTCCCTCTTTGGTTAATAAATGGAACAGCAGGGTTCTAGGGCAGGTGAGCATAGTCCTCTGACTGTAAAGATCTGCAGAGAAATTAGGAGTGGACAGGCTCCTGTTTCTACGGCATGATCATTTTCCAGTGTCATGAGCCCCACTTCTTCCCAAGTTACCTGCAAATCTTTCAGACAGTCTTTTTTTTTTCTCATCTGAACAAGTAAGAATCCCTCTGATCTTTTCTAGTGTAGCCAGCTCTGAGAGCCTGATGAATTGCTCTTACCTCTTTGGGGCCATATGAATTTTTGATTTTCAAATAAAAATTACAAAACCTCTGTAAAATACACCTCACAGTTCTCCCTGCAGATGTAAGCTGCTTCTAGTTTTGCTGTGCAGCTTCACAGAGTCAGGGTCCATTTGCTTAGGCCAAACACCATTTGAATGTGACTGAATGATATCAGGACCCAAGCAGTGGATAGAAACATCAAGGGTTCTTTGGAGAAGTTTGTTGTATTAATTCCTATTTTATAGCTGCTGTGTATGTAGTTTACACTTGACAAATTTTTTAGTTGCTTTTTGCTTCTGCAACTGATAATGCCTGCTCATATTGTCCTATTTTTTCATACTTTGGTGTTTGATGCAGGACTATGGCCTAGTGAAATGTTTGCAAAGTAATTCAGCCTGAGTGTGCCGGTTGTTTCTTTGGTTATCTGTTGGTGATATTCTGTTCCCACCTAGTTTGTTCAGTGCTGATTTGGCAAACTGTTGCAGGTTTTAGCAGCAGGCAGTTCACAGTAATTGTATCATATAATACATTAAATAAATATATGATAAATGAGCAAACAATAGACACAACCACAGCAACTAACCAGGCTTATCTTGTGAATAAGCACAGCAGGTTGGCAAAGGAGTATGAGGAATCGGAGAAGAATTTCTTAGAGCGTGACTGCCACAAGTATGTCAATGGAGCTAAGTCAGCATGGGAAGAGTGCTGGAGTGCAGTAATTTGCTGTGGATTCAAAAGCCAGCTACCCTTCTGGGTGATGTGGAGGGCATTTTCTGCGAATGCTGATGACTAACCTTCGTGAGCTCTGCAGAGCTGTTGCTTGTGCCACTCTTCAGCCAGCCTCTGTGCTGCTGCATTCCAGGGACATTCCACTGGAAACAGTAGCATGGCACAGAGCTGCTGGAATGGCCACTAGTCAGCATCAGACGAGTAGCTAAAAATTGTAAAGGACACCAGTCGTCTTTTTCGAAGTTGCAGTTTAAGGATTTGTTTGCCGTTCTGAATTAAAAAATCTTGCTTTTGCTTCACCTTTGTCCAGTCAATACATATAGCAGATTCATAGTGTGTGCACAAATGGATATTTAGCACTATAATTTATATTTATTTTTTGTAGGTTTTCTGATATAAAATCATATTTTGCTGTACTATTCTTACAGCATTTTGCCCACTAGAAACCAGGACTTTTTTCTGCCTTTCTTCCTCCTATCTCTGTTTATGTTTTTCTATATAGATCTACATTTAGTTATTGTGTTGATGATACTTTTCTGTTCTCTCTCTTCCTGACGTCAACCTTTCTCTGTTTTTCTTGCCAGCACATGGATGCTATGACTGTAGGATTGTGCTAACTGACCCATCTGGAGTTTTCACTTCTCCATGCTTCCCCAGTGATTATCCTAACAGCCAAGCATGCAAGTGGATCATCCGAGCACCTCATGGATTCATCATACAGCTAACATTTATTGATTTTGACATTGAAGAAGCTCCAGGCTGCATTTATGATTCATTAACATTAGACAATGGAGAAAGCCCAATGAATCTTTGTGGCATCACTGCCAAAGGATTATCCTATAACTCTACCGGAAATGAAATGATTGTGTCATTTAAAAGTGACTTCAGTATCCAAAAGAAAGGTTTTAATGCCACCTATGTACGAAGTAAGTAAACCGAGAGCATTTCATTCCTCTTTTAGATGTTAGAAGGAAATGTCTTATAAGGATTAGAATGACACTTCCTCAGTAAATCGAGTCTTTCATAAGAAGAGAAAGGATGGGGAGGCTGCAGGGTAAAGCTACAGAGTTCTCTTATTTTTTTCTTACTGAATTTATTTTTCTTTGGGTGAAAATAAATTATTTTATTCTGAAACAAAGCATCAGATTGTGTTAGAAAAACTTCTTCACATGCAAAAATTTTAGGCCTAGCTGTGCCTCTCCCTGCAAATTTATGCTGGAGGGTTTGGAAGCAAGACACTTCTCCTTCAGGTCAACATACCTGCACATGGACAGAAAACTGAAAGAGAGCATGAAAGGGAGCTTAGCTGAGCCAGAAATACGGCTGGCACAGACCTTTGGCCCAGTGAAATACCCAACAGTGGGAAGGAGCTGTGCTGAAGAACTTCTCAGGAGTCTTCTAGCCTCTAGAACAAACTCCCAGGGATGAACTGGCATTGCAGGATGGCTACCTTTCATTCCAGTTCCTTGATCTTTCTTTCCCTCCCTTAAATATGTAGCAATGCTTACTTTTTAAAAAGCTTAACAGCTGCAGAAAAGAAAAGGACACTTACTCTTATTCTCTTAGAATATATAGGTACAAACAGCCTATGTTTGTTTTGTTGTTTAAAGCATTAATTAGTGGCTCTCACATGGCGGTAAAGGGCGGCGAGGTAACAGAAGGACATAGGATCATCGCCTACAGGCCCCATATGCTACTGACCATTCATTCCACTTCAGGGTTATAGTTTACAGTTGCCTGCTCTCAGTAGGTTTTCTGAAGTCACACACCTTAGACTAAATACTAGTATTGTATTGAGCATTTATATTATTATTTCACACTTCTGTTGGTTGGCTGGCTGCTGTAGAAAGACAGAGGAAAGAGGTTTGCAGTTATCTCTTCAGTCACAGGTACATCTTCCTCAGAATATTTTTTAATATTTATTACATATATTATATATTTTAACATCATTAAGATAGTAGCCCCCAGGATTCATAAGAAAAGAGTACTCCTGATTTGCCAGCAAAATTTGTGTGTAATTCTGAAAAAAAAAAAAAGTAATGTCATATCATATGAGCTAAAAATACTTCTTTTTACTTTTACTGTCCTTTTTCATGCTGAAGAAATTAATGTAGTAGTAATTCTAGGAGCAGTGAGATTATGCAAGATTATTAATCTCCTTTTTCCTCTTTAATCTTTTCATGTCTAAGTATGACTATAAGGGATGAGATGACTCACAACTGGAATTGAAAGATGCAATGTTACCCTCAAATATGTTCAGTGAAGAGGAGAGAAAAGGTCCACAGGTATAGCAGGGAACCATTTGCAGGCAAAGATCACTGCAGCATTTAACCTGGCTATGGATGCAGAAAAGGGGCTTCATAAAGGGAGGATAATGTACTGCTTTCCTTTAAGTTATAAAAGCATGTAGACAATAGGACATCATCCACACACACACACATTATGATGCATCTGCATGGCAGATGTTAGTGCTACATTCTCTTTTCCTTGCAAAGAGTTCCCAAAGCCATTGGAGAAATTGCACACCCCCTAACTTCAGGTTCCCAATGGAGCTGCAAAACTCCTTTGTCAAGCTGACACCATTGTTACTACTGCAAACATGATGCTTGAGCAAAATCATTCATTTATCCTAGAGCAAGAAAAACAGGGTTATATTCATACTTTATTTCTCGGAAGTAGTCATATGTAAATAATGAAATTAAGTAGTTCAGTTTTGAGTTTAACAAAGTAATGCAATGAAAACGACTGTTCAAAGACACACAGAAATTTTCTAACTGGACATGGCATTTAGAAAGAGATTAATGGTTCATCCTAATATAAAATATGTACGCAAAAAAAAGGAAAGACAAAATAAGAGAGTGAGTTTTGGGAGGGAATTATCAGAGAATAGAACAGCTTTTGTGTGGCTCCTTGGTTTTATGTAAGAGCAGTTTCAAGCTGAGTTTCACAGAGCATGTCCTGTTATTCATAACAAGTTGGCCACCCACACAAATGCTGCCTTTCCTGTTGTCACCTTCTGCAACACACCAAAAGTAGATGGACGGGCCATATCCTTAGCCGCAGTAAATGAATGCAGCTTTGCTAGTCTTAGGATGGCTATGTCAATTTACAGCAGCTGAATAGCTGGCATGTTAAATAATTTTCTAGTAATTCTTAACTGCATAAGTTAACTGGTGAGTAGAACTCAGTCACTTAAATGAGAGGAAGGCTAGCCAACAGACCTGTGTTAGCTTCCTTGCTGTTAGAAATGCTTGAGACAATGTTAAGTGAAATTAGCATAGAGTTCAGTAGTACTGCAGTAGCCCAGATTAAAAACACAGTTCAGTGAAATAGTAACAAAAAATTCTCAAACAGGTATTTGATACGTAGACACTTGCAGATCTCATTAAAGGTAGTGCATTTCTTCCAGCAACAGTGAAAGGGCAGATGAAAGCGGTGAAGTTAGGAACAGCAGAAGCCACCACTTAAGCACTGAACCATGGTGAAAAGCCCACCAATTGTCAGGAAAGCAGTTTTTCCTGCAAGGGATTATAAAATACTTTCTAGAGACTCCTGGCTTGTTTATGTAAAGGGGCATACGAGATGTGAGACAGTGAGCTGCACGTAAGCTGGGGGCACTAAAAAGCAGCAGAGGCAGGCTTCATGTTGTCCCAGTGCTCCCATAAAAGCAGATGTGGATCTCAGAGCAGTGAGCTGCCTGTTGCTGGTCAATTCTGCTGCTTTTGAGCTGCCAAGGTTTTTGTACGTTCTTCACAAGTAAGTAGCAGTGTGTCCAAAAATACCCCTGTTCATTGTAATCCCGCTATCTTCCTAACAGAAACAGTTTAACATCATTCTGGAAGTAGTCTAAACACTTAAATAAATATTCTAAGAATATATATGTATATTCTTCCTTGGAGAATAACCAGCTTCTCCAATACAAACATCTGAAATTCATCAGTATGATGACTGGCTGTGCGGCTGTAATCAGGAAGGAAATCTCTGCTTTATGTTGATGGCACGATTCTGTTTTCTCCACAGGGACAAAACAGTTGTTAGTTTTCTTCTTTCACTCTACAGGGAAGGTGCCAGTGGTTAAATCTGTTGGATCCGAGTACAGTGAAGTTGGGTAGACTTCTTCAGTGCTGGAGCAATGTCTTCCCTGTTTATTTCTCTTTCTGTACTGTTTAAATGTGACCAGGTGGTTCATAACTCTGCTTACCATCCTAACACAGGCAGGACAGCATTCATATGAATGAGGTTTCTTTCTTCTTTTTTAAGCCTGGAATCCTTATACTTCTTCTGGAACACTTCCCATATTATGTAAAGAAGCTTTCAGTATAATAAACCCATGAAAAAAAAGCCCCTGTTTTCAGTGGAGAGTTGAATGCATTTTCTATCTATAAAATTGTTACAACATACTTTTGCCCTTGGGAAGGAAAAAAAAAAAATTATGAAGTAAATCCAGTCATTATAAAGGCCAGTATTTTTCTCTCTTCCCTCCCATTCTCTATTTGCTGGGTTGGCAGATAATGCACAATGTTATTTTACTATATATTTGTCAAATTATGTCCTTGTGTGTATCCAAATATGGCAGTTTGGAGCTCAGAGACTTTGCAAGCTGCTGGCAAAGGGAAATTGCAATACCACAGACTACGCAGAATCCTTATATCCTATGTGTCTGTCTTTTTTGCTGAGCGTAGCGTTACAGTCACCCTTTCTTTACATGTCTCACTCTCCCATATTGAAAGGCTTTTATTTAATTCTGAGAAGGGAACAGTAATTAATGTATGTGTTGTGGCATCTCTTAAAAATCCCAGAAGGGACTAGGGATTAATAGCTGTGACATTTACTGTTTCAGGTATAGCAAAAACCAGTTTCACTTCCAGCATATAGACTGTGAAATTGTGTAAAAGAAGTAGCAGATACTTGCTGGCGATGTTGTCTGTCACAAAACTGTGGAACCACAAGTGAAACCAAAGGCTGCTGCAGTCTGCCCTTACTGCAGTGAGCATTTGCAGGAGGACTAGCCATTTCTAGATACTTGTGCAAAATCCAAAATTGATGACACAAATATTAACAAATGGTGAACAGCTTGGATATAAATATTCATGGTTTCAGTATTCAACCAGAAGGCTGCTGAGAAGATGCCTAATGCATTGCAGAAACCCTTTAGCTGGATTCAAGAACAAAAAGCTTCAGTTTGCCAAGGAATTTAATGGGGGCTTACTTCTGTTGCAGTATTTAAAAGAAGCAAGATGTGAACTTCACTGGTGTAATGCAGTCATGCAGACAAGTTAAAATAATATAACTTAAAGGAAGTCATACTGTGTTTTTCAAGTAACTTGTTTATTCCATTGCCTACTGCATACTTACTGGATGAACGAGTAGTAATTTTTATAAAGTGAGCTGAGGCAGAGTTAGAAGTTAGTAGGTAATATGTCCTAATATTGCTGTTAATGCATCTTGAGAGGCTGTTAACAGCATTGTCTATGTTACTGAAAAGGAATTGTACATTTTCTCTTGAGTGCATTCCCAAGCCAAATTCCTCTTTGTAGGTGCTATTGGTATATTACAGTGATAAAAACACCTGGTGAATGTTTGATTTTAATGAATGTAACTTTAGCTTCTGCTGCCAGTCTGCCTTTATATGATGATTTTTATTTTTTTTTTTATTTATTTATCTGCTCTTGGTTCTAGTTGCCGTGTCTCTGAGGAATCAGAAAGTCATCATTCCTCAGGTTCCTGATGTTGATGCTGTGTATGTGGCAGAGACTGTCTCAGTGCCAGAGCTCAGCCAGTTTACGCTGTGCTTCGAAGCAACCAAGGGCAGCAATGATGACAATGATGACTGGAAGGTTTTCTCATACACCGATGCATTGTCAAAAGAATTTTTCAGCTTTGGGAAGACCACAAAAGGCCATTTTCTGTCCATCTCAGGCACGCAGTGCATCCTTGAGAATGCATTGCCCCGAAATGCAGAGTTTTTCACGGGAACTTTTCAACAGCTCTGTGTCGTAGGGGATAGCTTCTCAGGCAGCATAGGTATATATGCCAAAAGCACCTATCATATAGTGTACTGTCCAGGTATCTTTGGCAAAGTTATCCCTGGAAACGGCAGGCTGGTGCTGGGCTCTAACAGCAATGAAGTGAGCTCTCTAAATGGAGACATTTACAACTTCCGCCTCTGGAATTTCACCATGAATGCACAAACACTGGCCAACCTCAGCTGTGATGTGAAAGGAAACATTGTAGACTGGGAAAATGAATTCTGGAGTATTCCAACTTCAGCACTGAAAGCAGAAAACAATTTGAGTTGTGGTGAGTATGCCTTGCCAAATCTTTTTTTGCTTATTTTCCCCCCATGCATGTGCATTGTGCTGAACATATCATATACCAGTATGGAAAATAAAGAGTTCCTGTGAAAGGAATACTGCTAGCTCTTACCTTTATTAGACTTCAGCTCAACTCTTGCCATATGCAGATGCTTTGAAAGGGTGTAGATTTGATTCCCTAAAGGAAAAGAACAAGCCCCTGAGTATGTTGAGTTGCTGCTTGAAATAATCTGCATATCAAAGTTTTTTCTGAACAATTTGTTTCCTGGCCTTCTACTCATATGAAATGGGGATAACAGGCAAGTACGTGCTAGCCTTAAGTAAGATTACAGCGATATCTGGAGAAAAAAATGTGTGTTAACTAACCATTTAGGAAATGGTTTTGTGCCTGCCCCTTGGCCCTTTGATTAGCCAGAAGGAGCACTTGCTAGCCTTGTGCTGTGTGTGCAGAGCCAGCAAGAACAGTGACAAAACAACAATCCATATGAGACAGAAGAGTATGAGAAAACATTAAATTAGAGGAGGCAGACAGGAAGAGTTTTAGATCAAAATCATTGTGTTTTATCTTCCTGGTGACATATTATCAGTCCTTCTTTTAACTGGTAATTACTGAAGGACTTTCTTCCTGTAGATTACTCCAGAAGATAAATTTCAGTACATTGTCCAGCCTCTTCTCATTTCATGCCTCAGATGCTCAGATAACACTAACCGTATCCTGGGCTGCATCAAAAGGAGCGTGACCAGCAGGGTGATCCTGCGCCTTTACTCTGCTCTCATGATCTCACTTGGAGTACTGTGTGCAGTTCTGGTGTCCTCAGCATGAGAACATGGAGCTGTTGGAGCAAGTCCAGAGGGCCACAGGGATGATCAGGGGGCTGGAGCACCTCCCGTATGAAGAGAGGCTGAGAGAGTTGGGGCTGTTCAGCCTGGGGACCTTATACAGTGATAGGACAAGAGGCAATGTGTTTCCAACTCAAACACAGAAGGTTTAGGTTAGGTAAAAGGAAGAAATTCTTTACTGTGAGGATGGTGAGGCACTGGAACAAGTTGCCCAAAGAAGTGGTAAATGCTCTGTCATTAGCAGTGATCAAGGCCAGCTTGGACAGAGCCTTGGGTGACATGGTTTAGTGTGAGTTGTTCCTGCCCATGGCAGGGGGATTGGAACTAGATGATCTTAAGGTCTTTTCCAACCCTAACCATTCTGTGAGTCTCATAATTGTCCAGGTGTCATTCTTACATATGTATATGTTATTACAGGTGATTGACAGTTTTCTATTGGAACATCAAAAACTGAAAAAACTTTGTCACTTTGGACCAGTGCTTTTTCTTCTTTTTTGCTTAGTAACAACTTTAGAGATATTTAGATAATTATAAAATGCATAGGGAAAAATCCTGGCAGCAGTAGCCTATACACACATGTATGCTTGTGAAAATCAGCTCTTATCAGAGTTTGAGCCCTCCTATTATAGCAAATGCATTCCTGGCATTTGTGAAAAAAAAGCAACCAACCAAACAAAAAACACCCAGAAAAGTCAAACTAAGCATTTACAAATATTGGTTCTTTCTGAACCATGTAGGGTCTCTTCATATCTAATGTCCTCTCCAGTTCTGCCACCTTGTCCCTTTGACACCTTACTCCTCGTTAGTTTAAACATAGTTTAGATAGTGTCAGTGTAAGCACCTCCTGACAGAGCAGCTGTCAGCGCTCTGAGAATCCTTAGCTTGAAACAGAAGCTGGTATCGTTAAGGTGTGCTAGTTTCTGTATCTAATAGCTCGTGAGGGATTAAGGTGGCTAAGAAAACGTCTTGTTTGCTTTAGTTCACTCAAACCAGTGTGAGGTACTCCTTCACAGTTAGACTCACTGGGACAGTTCTCAGCATGCCTCTGCTAAAAAAATTGAAGCAACACCTTTATGAAAACACAAGCAACTAGGTGTCTTCACCCCTCTACCAGAACAAAGAAAAGGCTGATCTAAACAGTGACCATGACTGGTGAAGGCCTTTTGGACAAAAAAAAACAAACAAACCAAAGTTGCTTTTCCAGATCTGACTGAGAATAACTTCCCAGACATTCTTACTTCTCTCACACCTTTGTACCATGAAGATTACCACAACACTTTCACTAAGCAGCCTGCCAAGACCTATGTGAATGTTGTGGTCATATTTAGTTTTGACTGGAGTATGGGTCTTTGCCCTTCTTTCTGTTAGAAGCTGTACAGTTCTGTGACACAAATGTAATACCACAGCTGTTCTCATAGAAACAGTACATTTATTTTCATTCCACAGCTTTATTCCTTGGGATGTCATTGTTCAGTGGTTCCTTACAGCAGGTTATTAGTTTAGAAAATGTGCATTAGTATTCATAGGTTGGGCTCAGGTTTCTATACAAGCCATTTCAAATATATTTATATGTAATCATTGTTACTTCCTGTAGGCCTATGAGAAAGCTAATTAATTAGTCAGTCTTTTTCTTTTGAAGATGCTATATCGCCCTCTGTGATACAGTCTTTCCTGACCCAGAGATTTTGTAAAAGAAAATACTGAGTGCAGTGCCATTTCAAACATGGTTACTGATCTCAGACATGGAATTGTTAGAATTTTCTTCCCTTCATCTTCTTGAATAAAAGCCATCATTGTAAAACCAGCCTCCAACAGGAGAGTTGATGAGTCAGGCTATCACCCATGAATAAACCACTGACAGTAGGGAGATGAATCTAACTGATTAGGCTTCATTTACCGGCAATGGAAGGATTGAGGCAGAAAAGAGGTTTCTGCACAGCTCCAGTGCTTCCGCAAGAAGTGGCATGTAGCTTAAAAAAACCTAAGCCGCGCATTTAGCAATGATCTCAGCATATCTGTGCCTGAACAGTGCTTACATTTTTCAAGGGGTATTATTTTCATGTTTTTTTAAACAAAGATTTTACAAGTAGATTTACGGAGCATAAAAACACTGGCAAATTGTTCCAGATAATCTTTTCTTAGTTTTACCTTCTCCTACTTTATTCCTTAGACTAATGTTTTCACAGCTGTGCAATCATGGTGGGGTGTTTCTGTAAGACTTGATGGAATTCTGTTTTTATTGCAGTACCTTCAGACAGCTTGCATTTAAAGGTATATGTACACAGCCTGGGTATCCAGACTATTTTTAAAACAAGTAGCCTAAGTAACGATAGCAGTGTACCACCAACAGTTCAGAGCTCAGTGCAGGCAAACTGAGGAGCGTTTAATCAACTTCTGATACTAATTTTGGAGCCTGCACTGGCTACATCTATAGCAGGATATGATCTACTCAGTTAAGGGTAATGTGGCCCCATGTCTGACCGTGCCTGCAATTGCACTTGCTTCATGTGCACTTCATATGAGTCCTTCACTCCTCAAAGCCAGAGGAATTCTTAATTTTGCTCTCAGATTTAATTCAGGGTAGGATCTGTCCTCCTTAGGCAGCTGAATGATGTTTCTGGCTGAGCTAATTGTCCTCAGTGCTGTTAATGAATAATGGAAAGAAAAAGACTGTTCCAAAGGTCAATGCATCTCATACTGGAGAAGATGTTTCAGTTAAGTCAGAAGTTTGTTGCTGTAGGAGTTCCTCTCCGCTGACTATAAAGAAAGTATAGCATGACAAGCAGATACAGATGTCTGAGTTTCAGACATTTAGAGTGAGATACTTTAGACAAAGTTTCCATAATACAAGTCCATATCTTCTGTTCACATTACTGACCATGCTACTTGGATTCATAAATATATTTACTGAAAACATTTCTCTTTATACGGTTGTGGTGGGTTAATGCTGTTTGTATGACAGGTGCCCACCAGAGCTGCTCTGTCACTCTCCTCCTCAGCTGGACAGGAGAGAGAAAATACAACAAAAGGCTCATGGGTCAAGATAAGGACAGGGAGAGATCACTCAGCAATTACCATCATGGGCAGGTGGATATCTACTCCACTGTGGACCCCCATAGGCTTCATGGGGGACAGCCACCATGGTCTGCACCACAGGCTGCAGGGGAATCTCTGCTCCATCGCCTGAAGCACTTCCTCCCCTCCTTCTGCGCTAACCTTGGTGTCTGCAGAGCTGTTGCTCTCACATGTTCTCACTCCTCTCTCTGGCTGCAGTTCTGCAGTTATTTTTCCCCCCTTCTTAACTATGCTATCTCAGAGGTGCTACCACTGTCACTGGTGGGCTTGGCCTTGGCCAGCGATGGGTATGTCTTGTAGCTGGATGGCATGGGCTCTACCAGACACAGGGGAAGCTTCTAGTAGCTTCTTACAGAAGCCACCTCTGTAGACCCTCAGCTACCAAAACCTTGCAATGCAGAACTAATACAACAATCTTCTGACTTAAGTGTTTTGCAAAGTTGGATTGTATTTTTTTTCAGTTTCACTAAGTAAAATAGTTTTTAACTACTCACTGAAGAAAATACAGAGGTCCACAGATTTTCCAAGCCAACTTTCAGGTGATTTTTCCATTATACAGAACCAAAAGGAGATAAGTTACAGGAGGTTTTGATATTGACTGTTTAATACTAGCAAATACACTTTTTGGAGAAAATAATTCTCACACAGGTGGTACTGCACCTACTTAGAGCATCCTTCCTGGAGTGCATGGGAAGTGTACCAAGGAAATTACTTTGTCTGAATCTCTTAATCCATTAAAACAAAAACAAAAACCCACAAAAAAAGCCCAAGCTTTTATATTTGTTGAGGATCACGTGTTTTTAATGTTTTTACATGTAATGGTATCTGTGTCCTGACATGATTTCTGTGTTGAGGCCGCATGCTTTATCTGCTCTTGCATCACAGGAAATACTTTCCTAGCTATCTTTACGAGCTGGTGGGTGGTGGCTCTTTAATTTTATGGAAGGATACAATGTTTCATGAGAGAAGCTCATTGAGCCCATATAAACTTGAAGTGGTAAAGCAAAAGCCGAAAGGGCAAACTCTCCCAGTAGGTTCATATTATGCCATCCTCTATGGCCCCATTATTTTCAGTGCAGTGTGCAAAAGCTGCTCTATCTGCAGCTGAAATGCTGGGATACACAAAGTGTGATTAATGCGGCTTCACCAGTTCTTTGTAGCTGTTCTTATATGCCCTATTTTTGTCTTCAGATCATCAAAGTGTGTACATGTTATGAATAATTCAGTGGAGATACAGACTTGTAACATTATCTGCCTATAAATCCTGCATACCAGAATATTAATCACAACCACACCCTGGGCAGAGGAACAAGTTTAATCACCTTTTATCTGGTTGGTGTCTGTCACAGGCAAATTACTCAGAGGTGGGAGGTGGGTAACCTGTGCTACAGCAGCAGAGTGTGGTTGCTTCTCTGAGGCACATATTATTACTCACTGGGATTGCATAAATCCTGTGGCCATACTGACCCCTCTGCTTAAAGCCATTTCACAGAGTACACGCAGGCTGCATTCATTTAATGTTATGTTATTTAGCGAAAACTAGGAAAACCAGTGGAGGATACATAAGTCACTGTAACTTGCAAGTCAGCGGGTTTTCATGGATCCCTCAGCTGCAACAGAAAATGCAAACACATAAATCTTGCAGGCAAATGGCAGTATCAGTTTTGCCACTGAGAGAAATTAGGAAGAGGACTGTGTCACTGCGAAGTGTAATGTATTTTGAGACATGATAGTTTTATGCCCAGTAGCCAGACCTTTCTAACTATTTTGCTTCCTTTTCCTAAAGGCTCATACCTAATTCCCTCTTCTACAATTGAACCAACCAGTTGTGCGAACCTGGGAAGCCTTTGCCAAGGTAAGAAGCCCCGGTTATTTTCACAGTTTCGTCTTTGTGAAATCTTTATTTTCCTTGGTTGTTCTTTTTTTATTCCTTTTTTATTATTATTTCTAAAAGGGTGAACTGCAGTAAATAATAGCAAGGAAAGGAATTCTTTAGTCTCATCAAGTGTGTGGGTGTCCTGTATGTACAATATGTGGAAAAAATGTGATCACTCTGTTGATAATACATATTCCAGATAGTCTCCATTATATCAAAACTGAATTAATTGACTGCTTTCTTTTCTTTCTCCATCTCTTTTCCTCCTGCACATTTTGATAGTAAAGTATTAACTAGGATAAGAAGTGGGTACATCTGTAAACAAACAAAAAAAATAAGCAGATGTAAATAAAGGATCTGACTATTCATTTTTTTCCAATAAACTATTCTGAGGCTAAGTACTTTTGAGATTAGCAGGTGAAAATCTAACATCAAACTGCAAATTCCAGCAGCTATTAGTTAATGAAACACTTTATACAGTGCTTAGGGATGGTTTAGTAGTGTAAAAATTACACATATAAGGATATATTACGTGGTTTTAAGATCAGCTCAGTTGAATGCAAAGAATAGGCGAAGTCTGGAGATTTCCATGCCAATTGAATCGTTGAACATGCAGAGGCAGTTAATTCCTTCTGCTCTGCTTAGAGGGGAAAGTTGTATAAAAACGCTCAACATGACCAAGGTCAGCTCATTTCCACGATACCTTCATGAACACAGACCTGCTAATGAGGTGTCATGCTACGTTAAACTTCAGTCACAGCAGCAGATGCACCAAAAATAATGTCTAGCTCTGTAATCCTTTTCAGGCTGAATGGTGAAGGAAGGATATAGCAGAGAATAAAATATAAAAGGAGAGGAGGAAGTCTCAGGAGTCTTTCAAACTGACATTTAGAGGTAAATCAGTTTGAGCTTAACAGTACGGAAGATGCACTTTCCTTAGGAAGTCAGTAAGAGATCTATGTCAGTCTTCAGTGTACTCCCATATTTTCCTGAGGTTAATTTATCATGTTCTTGGAGCGTGTTGTACTGGTCTCCACAGGGAAAGTGAAATGCAGTAATGTCCATAATCAGATTTCAAACAGTAATTTTCAGGTGTCACATTAACAAAGCACAGTGTGATCTAAATAATGCTACCTGAATACCTTAGGTAAATGTGACAGCAACAATTATCAATATTGGTCTTTTTATATGTAAAAGGTAATATAGCCACCATATAAAAAATTTCTTGTATTCTCCTGGAAGAGCTCAAGGCATTTTCCTCTATCAAAATGGGACGGTGTGAAAGGACATTAGGTCATCCAATATGACTGCAGAGATGGGCACACTTTCAGCAAAGCAAGCCTGCTTTTCTAAAAGCCTCGTCCTTTTTTTCAGCTTTATTAACTTTAGTAGAAGATGTTGCCTCTAGTAAAAGATGCTACTTTTCAAACTTGCCTCTCTTAACTTCTTAGACCATCACATCTTCAGTAAAGACTGAGTCCTTTCACTAAGGTAATACTCTTCTTTTTCTTCTGAAAAGCATTTGCTAAAGTGTCACTGGTGTTCTGTGTTTGTCACTTTGGAAGTGACAGATCAGATTTACCATCATCATCACCATCATTGTTATTGTCATAATTACGAAAATCATAAAAAAATGTCTATTTCTGTCAGCAATGCAGATTTATTTTAAACTGAGAGGCCAGTTTGGATTCCTTTTTTGTTTGTTTGTTGTGTGTTGTGCAATTGCACCAGTAACAAAGTTTGCAGATGCCAGATTGTGTCAGCTATAGTCTGATGAAAGAGCCATTTTCTCCATTATGCTTAACAAATATTTTCATTCATTGGAACATAACTCCTTTAATGGTGTTGGCTGGAAGATACAGTCAGGAAGAACCCTTATAACTTGTTTCTCAGACAATACAGCCCTGAAGTTTCATGGAAGAAGAGTTTTTTTATATTATAGGGTGTCACTTTATATATTCACATTCCCAGTTAGAACCTGTTTACTGGAATGTCCAACTCTTCCTTCTCTTGCCCTAAGCTTCTTGTTTCACTGAAACCTGAGCATGAACCTGCTCCCTAAGCTGAGACCTGAGTTTATGACTTTCAGACTCAAAAGGTTAGCTAAAACAACCACACAAAAAATCAGAATCTCTTGCCTAAAATACATTTTTAACCTTTTCAGGTTGGTTCTTGGTCAAATCTGCAAAAGCAATGTAACGCTGAGATTATACTGCACTAACCTTCAGATTTTAAAAAGAGTTTTCAGGGAAAAAGAAATCTGTCAGTGAGTGGATTTGCATTCCTTGGGAGTTTCTAGAAAAAATGAAATTATTTTCCAAACTGTTATTTGAAAATGTAGTGGTATGATCTTTGAATTCCTTTAGCGTGTTTATCTTCCCAGTCCACTACCAGGGGGAAATTTGCAGTTTGATTTTGAGAAGTGTTCTAGCTGGTTCTCCTGGGAAATATTTCCCAGGGTTGTGTGGGGTGACTCCTGTTAATGTCAGTGGGAATAATACAGCCAAGATCCTACATGAAGCTTTCAAAATATATAGTCCATTTCAATTATACCAAATGTGATTTCAGTTCTCTTTAGTGAATGATTTCAATGGTGATAACTGGATCCTTACTTGGGTGGTTTAGTTTCAAATTTGTTTGTCATCTTCAGGCCCTGAGCAGGGACAGTTACTCTTTTCACAAGAAATATTCTGTATTCATGCATCTTAGATCTGTTTTCTGGTCTTTGCGCAGCCGTTTGGATCTGAAGCTCTTTTAAGAGGATTTTGAGTTTATAATAGCAGCAGGACTGATCTTGCAAATCTTACACTTGCAAAACAGTGAAAGTGAAGATTGCAGGACTGGGACCTCAGATCATATCCATTTATCACTTTCTGCAGGGAAAAAAAAAAAGTTTATTTTAAAATATGGCATTGTGTGTAGATGTTTTCATTTTACATTGTCATGTGTTGTTCCCATTTTGTCTTACCATATTAACATTCATATTTCATTCAAGTTCACCTCTCTCTCATCTTTATTACCAGCTACTGTAAATGCTACTACTCCTACACCACCCACTGTCACCACTAACATGCCCGATACTAATAGAAACGATAAGCCAAACAATGGTAAGAAATCCTGTGTTACATTTTTCCTTGTACTGTGTCTAGAGCAAAATTATTGTATTTTAAGGTGTGTTTTTCATAGTATCATAATGTCAAGGGTCATGCCTCAGTTTTGATCTCATTTACACTGAAATAAATCAGGAGTAACTTCACTGAACCATGTAAGAATGGTGTAAATGACAACAGAACCAAACTCTTGTGTTTATTTGTATCATGTTTACCTGACACTTGTATGAATGTGTCACCCATTGTATTTACCCATGCAAAGAATGAGGGAAGGGAGAGGGATTTTTAAAGAGGGTCTGTAAAGAATCATGCTATTGAAATGTTTTAAGGCTACAGGTTATGAGTCATTGTGTAGCTCCTGCTTATGCAGCCAGGGTGGTAGTATGCTGAGATTGTCTGTTCCTCACTAGTCAGTTGCAGGAGCTAAGTGGAATCATTCCTATGGAGCAAAGCCACCTCCACTGAGTCAACAGGAATCTTTCCACTGACTTCAAGAAGAGCTGGATTAGACTTTACTAGGGAAAATGTTGACAGTATCAGATATCATTTACTTTTCATTTAGAAAGATTAAGGGAAAAAATAAGGTAGTAAATGAACCTATTATTAGCACAGGAAAAAAAGCTGGGATTTCTTTTGGGGTTTTCTCAAATTCTGTGATATCACTGTCTCCTAGAGACTGAGCATCATTTTATGAGGCACAGCTAAAATATTTATCAGTTTGTTAAAGGTAGTTGTTAAACATTAACAACACAGATGTAGATTTCTGCAATTTTTATCTGAGGCTTAAAGATTATTATTTTTTTTTTTTAAGATTTATTTTTTTCAGTGTGCTCCACAGAAATAAATTAGAATACGTGGGGGGTTTTGTGGTTTGTTTCCATTTTGGGCTGGTTTTTTTTGGTTTGTTTTTTTTTTTTTGGCCTGGTTTGATTTTGGTTTTATCCCCAAATGCATCAGTTGTTACTGTAGGTTTTAAAATTCCTGGAGATTCTTGGAAGATCATTTGTTGTACATTGGCAATCAGGCAGTACAGTAGACAATGTGAAATAATTTATCTGCATTCAGCCTGTCCAGACCTATTAAACTGTAGAAGTAAGAAGCAGATATTGAAAATTTCTTCTAAATACTGCATTTTTCTTTTGTGGAGCCATTCACTTTATGTTCGCTGTAAGCATTTAACTGATTTTTGTAACTACAGAGGATAAGCCTTCTTAATGTTAGCATGAATAAAAACTGGACAATTAAATCCTTTCTTTGGCTTTGAAACTCCCAAGAGAAAGTAGAAAGACTAAGAAAAATAACCCAAATTTGTTTACAGTAGAAGCAAATTAAACTTTCACTCAGCTGTCTGGAGTAATTTTTCAGTCTTGGTAAGTTGATTTTTAGGCCAAGAACAGACAGTTAAGTTGCATATATTTTCTTTAATCCTTTAACTATGTGGCTTACTACACACAGACCTGCAGGAATTCAGACTTCCTGCTACAGTTATCTTCAGAATGAAGAGAAATTCACCTGAATCCTCCCATATACGACCACAGAGGCACCAAGAGTCTAAGATAGAAGGGGTCAAAACCATAGGAATTATCTCAACCCCGATTATTTGGCCAGTGAAACGAAGGCCTCTCCATTTCAGTAAAAACTCAGCAGATGAGAACCCAGAGAGAAAAACTATCTACAACTTTTTTCTTCTAACTATGTCCACATCAGCCACTTCTGAGGACACTGGCAATGATACCTTGGCTGCTTTTACAGAAAAAATCAACCTAGATAATACTGCGATGAATCAGTCACCAAATGAAAATATTTTGAATTATTCTAGAAGTTCATTTCATGGCACTTCTGATGCATCAGATGCTGTTACAGAGCCTTCTGTGAATGCAGCAATTCCTCTTCGTCAAAGCAGAAGTCCTAATGCAGAGCTAGCACAGACTTTGGCAGATGGGCTGGATCATTCTGACTCTGAGTCAGTGTTCCACTCTCCTGTTAGCAGCAGCAGCACTGCTTATGAACACAAAAAAGAAACTCTGTGGATTTCATCCTCCAACAGCAGCACAACCGATTTCAAGCATATAAGCAACATCTTGGATCCTGCGAGTTGGTGGAATGAGACCTTATTTCATCATTATATCACCTCTGACATTGAAGACCGACATTCTTTTTCTAGCTTATCTATATCAGTTGCAGAGCAGAAACCATCATTCCAAAAAAGTAAGCTAGATTTGCTAGACTCCTCACCTGAAAACTTTTACCTGGAAATGATAGAAGGCAATGCTGATAGGGAAACTTTTTCTGCATTAGAAGCAAATAGTGAATTTGAGTTTAGAAAATCTACACACGTTAAGGAACATCACTTAGGAGGCATTACAAATTTAACTTCTATGGCGACTCCACATGCAAACCCAAATATTTTTTTTCAAAACATGAAAACAAGATACACAAAATTTATGCCTGATATCCAACTGACAAATTCATTCCTAGGACACAGTAGAGAACTACCACCATCCTCAGCACTTCTGCTAGGAGCAGGCTGGACAAGTTCAGCATTTAAGGATGTTGTAACAAACCTGCCTGTTTATCAACCATTGTTGACTGCCATATATATGGAAAGTGACAGCATGTTTATTTCCAATAGCAATTACTGGTCTCATTATTTAAAACATACACTATATTTTCAAAATCCAAGTGACATCCTCAGGTATGGAATAGTGGAGAACAATTTGGATGCATTTTCCAAATTAGAGGCAGAGAACAGGAATAGAGTTGGCAGCTCTGGGGGCTCAGGTTACTTGGATTTTCCAACAGAATATCTAGATATTTCTCCTTCTTTAACAGCAAGTTTCTGGACTGTTTCCTACTATTTGAAAGAAGAATCTCAAGTGTTTTCTGGGGAGCCATCAGAAAATAGGTGGCTCTTATTTAATAAACTGCTTTCTTCCCCAACAGAAAGATTATCATCCATTAGTTCACCTGATAAATCTGGCAGTATCTCTGAACAAACATCTGCCATTAGATTATTAGGTCACAGGGTTGAAGAAATGAAATTCTCTAGTCATGCATCAGCTTTGGAAACACAAATCTTTAGTTCATTTATTCCAGGCCTCTCAAAGAGAATTTCAGAAAGTAATGGCAGGACAATATCACAGTTGTACTCGACAATGAACTTTGCAAACATAACCATGTCTTCCAACAGTGAATTTTATTTTGATTTTCCTTTGCCCTCCTTGGAAGCACCTTTGCGACAACCCTCTCTAGAAGTACAGGTAAGTCCCTTAAGTCCCTTTGATAAGATACTTGAAAACTCCACAGAGAAATTAATTATATTTGATAGTTTACACATGCAAATTAGAACTGACCTAGTAAGTGATCAAACCAACATGACCTTCCTAAACAAAAGGCAGCAGCTTGTTTCTGTCCTTCCAATGCATTCAGGAACCCAGTCTTCAAGGTATAGCCAAGCTCCTTTCTTGATAAATGCACGAGTTAAGAGTTTGGTAAACCATACAAGAACACATGAATCACTGCAGCCTCAAAGTCGTTCAGAAAATGATGCTGTAGCAAATGCTATTGATAAAGCAAGAAGTAAAGTTCAAATAGATGCAGATATTCTTTTAAAAAACATCACTTTGATGAGTTCTGACTTCCTTCCAGTGACTTGGTCTTTGGAATTAAGGCACCTTCTTCATTCAGACTCAGAATTCAGAGTCAGTGAACCTTACTCCACACCTCCACTCTCACAGAGTTTTCAGAACCATCTTGATACAATTTCTCCAAGCCTGGTTACTCAGTGGGACATACCAGAGTTAAGCTTGCCAGCAACTGTAGTACCAAGAAATCATCTAACTGTTATAGGACAAAACTCCATTGAAAATCAAGGGGACAGTCTGAGATACTCTCTATGGGCAGTAGAACAAGAAAGCACTGGTGATAATGAAGACATAAGGAATTCTGTTCTGACATCAACAAATATATTGAAGCTTTCTGAATGGGATTCAGAAGGGGAGGTGTACAGATCCTTCAGCAAGCCCAGAGAAGGAATGTCTTCTCTGAATACTTTTAGTACTCATGTCTTGGATTTTGAAAATGCTGATTATGGACGTTTTGTAAATCTCTCTTCTGTTTTGAAGGCATCAAGAACTGCAGTCATGAGTGATGCAATACCTTTGCCGTCTTCATACAGTGGAGTTGTTATTCAGCAAAAAGACACTATCTTTCAGGGCACTCTGATGACACCTGCAGCAGCAATCCATCACTCTGTCATGCCATCCCAAATGCCAGTTTCTTCTGTAATGTACCATCAGTTTCCAGTTTCAGCACATGTTCATTCCTTGGCCAATTTACCCTCTGAGACAAGCCAAAATACCACTCCTTATCCACCACTGAATCAACTTACTAGCTCTTCTGCAGTCTTTTTGTCTTGTTTGTGTTACTCCATCACTGAGCTGGGCTGCCTGTGTCGACCTGAGGTCAACTACAGTATGTCACGCCATTAAGTTAGCTATAGAAAAAAATCCAGATTATCTTATCTGTTATATATACAGTTGGTAGAAGTAGCTGGCTTTCATCCTTTAGGTATAGATCCATTTAGCATATAAAACGATTTTGCAACAGTAGTTTAATTACAGTAGAAGGGAATTAGTAACATCTTAGTGATAGTAAATGTCATTAACATTTGATTTCTAATTTTTGTGTGCATCTCTAAAACAGCTGTCATGAGACTGTGAGGATAATGTATTAGGTTGCCATATATTTAATATTTTTATGCCATTTTATTGAGATTGTATGATTGTTTTTAACTAAGTGTATTCATATATTTTTGAGGATTTAACTTTCAAAAAACAACTTTAGTTTGCCTAACAGAACAAAAAAAAAAACCAAACCAACAGCAAGCCTGGAATTTCATTGATCATTGTAATTTTGAAGTTAATGGTGGGTGTGGGAAGATTGTTTTTCCAGGTTCTTTTTTCAAATTATCTTTGGCTACTTTTCATCAATTTTCTGCCCATAAAAATATTTTTTTCATTCACCATTTTGGGATGGGATTTCCACTGTTTAATTTGGAGTGTGAGAAATCATTTCTGGTTTTCACTATCTGCCACTGCAGTCTCCTGAGAGTGTTTCAAAATGTAGATTAGTTCTTTGTTCTTGTTCTTTCTTTGCCTCATTAAAACATGCTTTGGGTAACCATCTGGTGGAGATCTTGAGGCTCTTGACTAGTTTATAGTTACTATATTTGATTTTAGACTTACTTTGCATATTCCTATATTAAGGTGATTTTTTCCATATGCATCATTATATAAATAAGGTTATAATTATATATATGACTATATATGAAATATATAATGCACACTTTCTGTATGTGTGTATTGGTATAGCACATATGAAAGTTACATTATACATATAAAATTGAATATATATATATATACAGAGATATATGCATATAAATGAGATCCAAATCTTGCAAGTGTTTTCAACTTGCCCAAAGTCCAATTTTCTACTTCCAAGGACTTAATTTGACTTGTGAAAAGTATAGGCTTTTAACAGAGAATATTTGATGTTACTTATTAGACCTGTAATCTTCTAATGCTGCTTACCAACTCCTGAGCTTAAAGGGAATTTATATTTACCCTGTGCCATTTCAAAACCATTTTACTGAATATAAAATTGCCCCAAGCCAAGTGTTACACATTTTGTGACTGAAAGATGGTTTGTTCAGTTGCCAGTTTTCTAAAGCTAATGTGAGTTCTACTATCTGGCCATCACTAGGCCTGAGAGCAATGACTGCGTTGTGAATGGGGTATTCCTTCTCCCACCTAATTCTGCTGTCAGTTGTCTTGTGGTTTCTAGTTGATGAGCTTTATCTGCTCTCTTTAAGTGTAATCTGCAGTGGTTGAATTCTGGATTATAATAATATGACTGGGAGCAAAATTTATTGTGTTGCAGACTACTGTAATTATAATTTCGTAAATTCCTTACACTTTCATCATCTTTTACACACCACATTAAAGGCATATGCAAAATACTATTTATACATGCATTTGTGAGTTTCCATATCACATTTCATGTGTCTCAAAAAATGGGGGGAGAGGGGGGCAGGAAATTCCTGTCTAATTCGACAGGTCTAATGGGAATGAGCCCAAGCCCACAGGGCTTGTTCACTCCAAAATTTTAGAATGCCATCTAGAGCTTGACGTGTCCTTGTATGTTGGTTTCAGCCCAATCTTTCTATTCATCATGAAACTAAAGTCTCATTATTATGACGGGTAATTTGCTCAATTTCTAACATTATAATACCTTTCTAATGAACAGGTGGGCTATTCTACAGGATATCTATAGTTGTCTTTAGTTCCAACTCTGATGCTACGTTAAAAGTACATGATGTGGTTGCAGAATGGGTAAGCTACGTTTTTTCTCCTCTGTGATTACATACATGAATCTGCCCCATTGATGTTACCAGTCCGAAAAAAAAAAAAAAAGAAAAAAAAAAGGGGAGGCTGTTAACTAAATTCTTAAATTAATTTGTGTTCTCTGAAAATCTTTCTATTATTGATTTACACAGTAATGAGTTCAGGTCTAACTGGGGCTATTAAGCATTATAGATAAAATTTTGAAATGTCTCCACTATACTAGCCATCTTCTTAAGAAATGTAGATGCTAGTTGAACTTTTGGAAGTTCAGAGAGATCAGAATTGTCTACTGAAAGAGGCAGATGTGTAAGTTCCAACGTCATTATAGAGAGCAAAATTTTTCTCCAAAAATACTAACATGGTTTTGAAGTTATAGTAATAGAAATAATAATAAAAAAGACAATATTCATTTGTGTGAGGCAATATAATTTTGCAATTTACACTAATATTCTCTACTTCAAAAGTCTTCTATCATAGGTTAGTTGTTGGGGTTTCTGTTGGGGCCCTGTTTTTCAGCCCATTTATCAAACAAGCTGCTTTCTGGGCCCTTTGGGTGGAGGATTTTTGAAGTTCTTGTCTTGGAAAGTGCCTTCTGTCTGAGTACAGATATTCTCTGTCCCTTTTGACAGTTCACATAGTGTCACTCAGTCTGTAGGTAGTCTTTATACCAACTACTTAACGTGAAAATATGATATCATAATATATGGCAGTTATTCTTTCTGTTTCTTTTAATAAAGCTGGAGACTTTCAGCTTTCAGAAGCTAAAGAAACCAATAGTCATCTACAAGCCAGAAATACAGCCAGGTGCAAGTCTCTTGACAGCAGTAACCAGGCAAATGTACATAGGTGCCTGAGCCAGAAAATCTATAAAGGTGTCAGTTGGCCCTACCAGAGTATACAGAAGTTTCGCCCAGTGGGAAAACTGAACACCCGCTGCCCACTCAGAATAAATAGTACAAAGATCTGAAAAAAAAGATCATTAAAAGGTTGTTTCTGGGAATTTAAGATGCGAAAGAACAGGAAAAAAGGAAAAGTTTAGCATCCCATGCACATTCAGCATGTTGTGGCCTTAAGATTTCCTTCTGTCAGTAAAAAAGTCCACATCTTTCACTACCAGTTATGCATCTAATACAACAGTCACCTCACTGAAATGGGAGAGTGTTCTCTTTGCTTTGAAAAAGAGAAGGGGATTTCTCAGGGGGGAGAAGGGTGAATTTCTAACTCTGTCTTAAGCAACAAAGTATCCTATTGACATCTCATTATTCATCTGATCAATGTATTTCTGTTTTTCAGCTAAACCGTACTTTCCAGAACTGGAATTATACTGTGTATGTGGTCAATATCAGGTAAATGATAGGGGAAAGATGTTTATGCTATGTTCCTTTTGAGAACTAGCCCACCCTAATTAATATTCATTTCTTTCATAGCATCCACCCTGGCTCCATAAAAGAGGGAACAAGGGAAAAAAGAAGTATTAAAAGGTAACATTTTTAAAGACATTTTCTTGATAGAGGCAATGGCTGCTATTACAAGTGGCTTTACAACAGGCTTTGTTGTCTGTTGCTGGGTTCATTGTCTGTTATTTGGCATATGCTGCCAGTGTGTAAATGTATGACTGCTGGTGAGCTGTGTGCTCTGGATGTGTTCAAAAACCTAATACTGGTTATTGTGTTTGTTTTGTTTTGAACCTGCTGAGCTTTAAACCTTAACAGATCCTTTTTCGGGGCTCAGGTTTCACCTGTCACAAAACTGAATAGACATATCATATATATGTGGTATGGCACGCCCAGCTTGCTTTAGCAACAAGCATTGGTACACTGCTGTCTATCCACTGTCGCTGCATTTTTTCTCTTGAACCACAGTCTTTTGAGTTAACAGACATCTTACTAGATGCAAAACACTGAAAAATCATGCTAGAATTGAAAGTCAAATGAGAGTGAGTGAAACTATTTACCATATGCTCTCATTTCCTGGCTTTTGCTGGGCCCAGAGGCACTTGAGCTGGGACAGCCTCAAAGGCAGCCAAAGAAAGTTAGATGGGTCACACCCTCTGAAAATTGGGCCTTGGGGGATTTCTTTGAAAGCAGCAGTCTGATTTCTGAGAGATATGTGGGGAGGGAGTGAATCTTGGAACCAAAGTAAGGAGAGGAAACCAAAACAGAATTATTAGTATTGTGAGGAAGGGGCAACAAGTGGGTATGGGATGTATCTGTTTGCAGTAGTAGGCAAAAATCTCATGGGAAAGGACTCGAGAACTGCCACAGTAACAGCTGGGTATTTTCATTTCAGAGGTAGCCAAGTATTCCCAATTTACCAGCAGGGAGTAGTTATTGATGCTTCCAGTTTTCTACAGTTTAGCTACACGCAAAAAGATTTGTAAAAGTTACTATCTCCTTCCCACACACCCACAGCAGAAAGACAGCTTTTATTGGCAAAACCATTTAGCTGGTATAGTGTAAACCCAGTCTCTGAATGGGCTGTTTCGCTGCTTAACCTACATTTTTGCAGTAAGGTGTAGTGTTGTGGCTTGGACTTTTTTTCCCACTTGTAATTGATATGGTTATGCCAGCAGAACCTTTTAAGTGGAGACCATGCCTCAGGTCTTACCAACAATCTAAGACTGCTGAGAAATGTAAAACTTTCCCCATCTTTATTCCTGCATCTTTTACAAGGCTACCGGCTCAGCCTGTCAGCATGTTCTCCCCTAGACTGCGTACCTGATTTCTTCTTGTCTCACCTTCCCACCGTCCTGTCTTCTGGATTCTGTTTATTATTCCTTGTCTATTAAAAAAAAAAAAAAAAAAAAGGTGAAGGGGGAGAAATTATTCTAGTAATTCTGGTAATTCCCTTTCCCTCCTTTTGTGACAGACAGTGAATACAGCACTAAATTACTTCTAGATAGTTATGAGGAAGTAACCTCATTCCTATTTACTTTGCTTATCATATGTAATTTCAGAAGCAATGTAATTACACATTTGTAGTATGTCATAAAGCTTTTCAGGTCTAATGAAAAACTAATCTTCTCATGGGCTCTAGTGCACTTTGTGTCAAGGCCAACTGGTATTTTTTTATAATTCTGAAAAATTTAGTATAAATGTGAGCATGTCACTCAAAATGTTACTGTTCTCCAAATAATCAGGATTGTTATGCTGGGCATGTTTACTTAGAAAAGTGCAAAAAGAGAAATCAAAATTCTGCCCAACCTAGCAACTAAGTTGGGGTAACACAGGGAAAACAAAAAATTTAATTGAGCTGCATGATACATGACTAACAAAAATTAAACTTTTCATGCGTTGTATAAGCACATGTGCATATATACAAATATATATACACTGAATTTTTTGCTGTTTTCTCATGCATTTTTCATGTCTGACATGTATTTTCATGCATCATTTACCTCTTACAGGAGAGACATTTGAGAAAAGCTGGTGTTCTCTCAGCTTCAGGTCTTCTAAGTATATGTCTGTCATTATATATTGCTTCCCTTACGAAAAAAAAAGAAGGATCAGCTTACCAGTAGTCTTCAATGTTCCTGGGTTTAGTCGCCAGGTTTCCAGTTCTTTGAGGTTCATGCATCTATTTCTAGATTTTGCAAGGAAGAAATCTGTTGAACTTCTGAAGATCCAGAAAACAAACTTTTTTTAAACTATTTTCCAATCATTGTTTTCAAGATACTTTGTTAGGTTTTCCACTTTCTTGGTTTTGTCCTGGGTAGGATTCTAAGGAAATCCTGCAGCACGCCAGAGTAACATTTGGGGGTATAAAATATTAGCAGGTTACAGGTTGGAAATTTTTAATCCCTGATGGAAGTAATGTTACTTTCTCACTACTCAGGTGATCCACTAAAATGTTAAGGATGATATCTTGCATGTAACTTACTTACAGTGGGATTTTGTGCAGGTTCTGTTAATTAAACATTCATATAGATTATTTCAGTGAATAGTTGTCTGAAGATTTTCGTACTTCATGGAATTATAGAATGGTTTGGGTTGGAAAGGACCTTAAATCCATCTAGTTCTGACCCCCATGACAGGGGCAGGTACACCTTCCAGCAGACCAGGTTGCTCAAAGCCCCATCCAACCTAGCACTGACCACTTCCAGGGATGGTGCAGCCACAGCTTCTCTGGGCAATCTGTGCCAGTGCCTCATAATGAATTTTTTCCTAATATCTTCTAGATCTACTCTTTTTCAGTTTAAAACCATTTCCCCATGTTCTATCCCTACATGCCCTTGTAAAAAGTCCCTCTCCAGCTTTCTTGTTTCTCCATTTTGGAGAGGCAAGAGTAAGTCTGTTGTAGTTTGAGCCATTCTACTACTTCTCTTAGCTTTAAATACTTCTTATTCCATTTGTGTTCACCTGAACAGAATTTCACTCCACAGTTAAAAGACCTAACCCATAAGTATCATGGCCTTAACTATCTTTACAGAAGTGAATGTAATAATCTTACTGTAACTCACAAAACCTTATCTCTCTTTTCTGAATTTCCCCCAAGATCATAACCTTTTTTATTTCTAAGGCACTATTATAATTCTTCAAATTGCTCTTCAGAAGTTTTCCCTCTCTTTACATGAAGTCATATTCTTACTATTCAGATTGCATCTTTTTTCCTTACCTTTTGGATTAGTATTTTATACAGCAGTTAAAAGCCAAAACCAAACCAAAACTACAAACAAAACAAATATAAAAGCCCCCAGAACTTTCCCAATACTTTCTATGCATTTTCCTTTTCTTCAACCTTATTTACCACACTGCTACCTTATCAAGGCACTTCTGCTGTCGTTCTCCCCACTTAATCTTCTTGCAAGTGAAAGAGGAAGAATTGTTAGAATGATGTAGAGAAGAAATAGAAGCTGAAAGTAGGAGGTAGGAAGCTGGCTTTTTTTGGCATGTTAAAAATAGGTGTTTTCCAAATAAATATTTTAAACTGTACTGTTTCCAGAGAAGAGCAAAACGAAACAAAAATGTGGAAGCGGATTCTTAATCTTTCATTGTTGTGTTCTATGAGCTGCGGAAATCCAAAGTACACTGTGATTGCTACGAATTTATGTACATGGTGGTGAGAGATAGAGTGCCAAGTCCAAAATTCATATTATTATCAGCACATTTAATACTGTGAGATATCTGTATGAGAGCAATATATCAAGCTAATACTTTAGTAGATTATTAACTACCTTAATAGAATGTTATCACAGTTTAACCTGACTTCATACCTGTTTTTATTTTTTGACTCTGGTCATACTGTTGCCATCTCTTAATGAGAGGGCAGCTGTTCAAAATTAAGTTTCAGAATGGTACCCCATTATTTTGAACAAATCTTTGAAAGTGCAGCCAATTTGTGGATTTGATGTAGATAAATGATAAATGTGTTTGTTTCTTTCATTAATTCATTGCTTTTTATGACTCTGCAGCTTTTTCAGAATTTTGTGTGACTCCTGCTGCTGCTTTTCTCAGATGGGTCCTACTGATCCTAGGTCTTGTCAAATGGCTCTATAGGGCTGCCTCCAGAATTCGTCTTTATTAAACAATTCTGCTCCACTGCTTCTTATTTCTTCTTTAATTTTGCAAGTAATTTTGAGAATTCAGGTCCCAATTAATTTAAAACCTTTTCTCTGCTTAATATATAAAGAAGATTATGCTTGCTCCAGCATCCACTACTTGATTGTCGTAATTCTGACCTATTTCCCATGTTCAATTTCTTCTCCTGTGGGAAACAACATTAATGTTAGTACTGCTAAACAACTCATCCAAATTAAAAACCACAGTGGTGAGCATTTTTGTAAAGACCACTAAAGTTAAACAGAAATCCCTTCTCGTAAGAATGAAAATAGAGAAGAAAGCAGGAAATCAGAGCTGCCCATAGTCATGCCTAGTTCTTTTTTGAGGTCCATGGGAGTTGTGCCACCAGTGTCAGTGAAGCAGAGTGAGGCTCCTGCATGCTGTGTTCTTGGGTCTTGTGTTGCTTAATGGAAATTTTAATGCACTTGGATAAAACTTAAGCTAATTACATTGCGTAATAGCTTTAGACAGGAGCTAGCAACATCAGAGCAGCATAATTTTACTTTTATAGTCCTAAGCATCTTTACCGAGTAAAGTATCTGCCTTTTGCATTCTTTGTAGGTTACTTAAGATTATTTGTTATGAAATAATAGTTACTTTATTGTTCTAAACGAACACATCTGTGATGCCTATTCCTATTTTTAAAATTTTCCTGGTTTCTGCTGGTGAGGTTTTAGGAACAACTTGGACCTGGCACACCTCTACTCGCTGTGAATTCAACTTCAGTGTTACTGAAGGCAGAAAAGAACAGCCTTGACCAGTGCTGAGCAATGTTTTAAAATGCCACATAATGTGTACATTATGTGTAACATTTCTGCTTGAAAAACTGAGCAACAAAGAGCCAAGCATAAATCCACAGGTTTCTCCACAGTGGCATCTTGTGTCCATGACCTATAAATAAAGCCTTCATTACAGATGGAGAAATCTGAGAATTTCTCCCAAGTGACTGAGGGATGAACGCTTCTTAGTGTCCTGCTGGAGCTGCCTGCTTTTCTTCCAACTTCCAGTGACTTTCATTGTCTTTCCAGTGACTTTTAACTGGCCTGACATTGTTAGATGCCATTTTTAGGGAAGTACTGTGTTAGGGAATGGGGTTTTTCTTTGTATCTTTGGAACATAGTTCAAGCACCACCAAAAACATTTCAGTGAAAACAAGATGTTGAAATGTGAAGGATTCCAGCCCTTTCTGCTACATTCTCTACTAACAAATAGTCTTCATACCAAATCTTCACATACTGTAAGTGGTTTCTGTTTAAAAGCCTTAGTTTTTTTTTGTATTCCCACACCAGATCTGTAAGGAGGAGTAAGGCCCAAAGGCAGAAGGACAGGCATAGAGGTATGACCCTGCTATTTACAGATCTATTCTGATACAGTGGCCACTGACTTAAGAGAAAGGCTTAGGATTCTTTTATTTTTAGTAGTCTAAAAAGAAACTGCAGATTTTAGTTTTGTGTCCTGATGTCTGTGATTTTTTATTTTTTCTGTAATAAAACCTTCTGCTGATAAAGGAACCACTTCATCCCTGGCATTATTTTGAATGTATTTTTTATGGCCAGTCCTGTTTTTTTTCTCTCTATTCTGAACATTTTAATGGTATCACAGTCAAAATCAACTCAAGTAAAAGCTGATCCACAACTCAGATGCTTGTGTGGAATACTTTTAATTTCCCTCTATTTTGACATTTCATTCTGTCTCATTCTGTGTGTTTTCTAATATTTTTTCTGTTTTTTATAGTAAATATTCATGAGTGGCTTAAGCAATAATCAGCTCGCTCTTTGTCCTTTTAATGGGAAGAAGTTAGTAGTGTTCACAGGTGACTAGATGGCCTACCTGTGCTGCCAGTTTTGAGTTACAGCTACCCATCTCTGCTTCTTCAAAGCCAGCATAACAGCAACATTGGTAAAGAATTTAATTCTGACATCTTGAAACATTTTTGAATATGCCAAGGTACTTAGGAATGAAATTCCCAGTGACTTTTCGTGGAAGTATAGACTCCCTGAGTACTTAGGTGCTTTTAAAATGATTCTTTATATTCTTTAAATCAAGTAACATTAACTACAAAGGAAATAAATAGTGATTTGTTAAACAGTTTGGCAACCACAATAACTCAGTATTAGCCCAGACTGTCTAGTACAACTGAAATGCATGGAGAAATATGCATTGCTAATTATCAACCACATATCTTCAGGTATGAGGGAGTCTGTGCTGCACGGTTCACATGGTTTGTTAATCCTTCCTTCAGGCTTCTTGCATTGCGTAGCAGTGAGACCACTGCCTGTGTGTAGGCACACAGTCCTGGAATAGCTCTGAGTCACGCTGCCAGAGAAGAAAGCCGGCTTTGTGGTACGCACCATGGCAGCATAGGCTCCACCACCGCCTTCTGTGCTTTTGATGAGGATGCAGCTCTGTAAACTTCTCTCTGTGAGCCAGCTTAGCTCAACAGACCAGGAAAAAGTGGGATAGACACCAGTCTTCCCCTGTTTCCTTGCTTGCTGCAGCTGTTACCATTTCAGTGAAAGAGAAGAGAGGCATAAATACTTATCCCCATGGTGTTTACGTACACCACAGTCCAGCTTTTTATACTGACTGCAGTAGTACTAGCAGTACAGGTTGCTGTGGTGATGTGCAGTTTGTATCTGGTTACTGCATTGAGAATCATTCTGCTTTTATATGCCACACAAAAAAAGATGTAAGACTGGGTGTGTTAAATCCAGTGACACCAGCAGAGCATAGCAGTGTTGCCATTTATTTGAGTGTAGGCCTACTGTTTCCCAAAGCAAGAATTTTTGTTCTTCACCATTAAAATGTTTTCTTTCTGGGATCTGAGTGTGACAAAAGTGGAAGGAAGCGCTCAGCTTCATATTGCGTCAGCTGTCAAGTTAAAAGGTATTTATTTACTTTGGGAAGCTAGCATGAGTCATTCTGAAAAGTTTATAGAAATTGTTTTCATCATAATATGGTACAGGCTCTTATTACACAGTATACATGTCTTGTGCTCTCAGAGTTTCTCAGAACACAAATAACAAAGTGGTTTAGAGATTATTTTTATCAGTGCTTCATAATCAATACCTTTCTCTATAATTGTTCAAGATAACTGTAACCAGTTCTACTTCATCTATCATTATCCCTTCTGTTTTGTTGCCGTTATCCCTCTGCACAGTTATGGTACAGTATTAAATAACATTTTGGTTAGCTGGGAGTCCTGCAATAGGCAGCATAGCAGTAGCAGTGACGACTTCTGTTTTGCAGCCAAAGTGCTGAGGTAGGGAGTGGCATCAGTACATTAAGTTTTCCTCTTCTGAAGTAAAGGGAATAGATGAGTGAAGCCAGAATCTTTTAGGAAAGATGGTTAAGTGCCAGGAGACTCTGGGGCTGAAGTGCTGGAGGGCTGAAGGAACTGGCAATCCCATAGGCAATTTCCATGCTTCTGCTAAAAATAAATGCCTTAATAAACTTATGCCACATAATATACCCGAGGTATATAGCAAAAGCTGCAAGGGTGCATATCCACCCTCCTGAGCCTATTGCCATATACTGAACACTCCACAGAGGCCAAAAGAGTGTTAGGAGGAACTCACTATCTCTGGGAGCAGGGTAGGAGTGACCTTGCCAGGGATAGCTGTAATTTCTCTGCTAAAATACATCCCCTGGGAAACAACACGCCAAGCCAGGTTGTCACTTTTTCACTTCTTCTCCAGCAAAATGTTACCAGTAAAACAGTGGATATGGCAAAAAAATAGGAAAGTGCCCTGGTGTGCAATAAACAACAACAAAAAAACCAAACCCAAACCTAGACAAAAAAAAAGGCTCCAACCAGGGACTGTGTATATTTTATTTACTTTACATCTGCAACAGTGAAATGTGTGGAGTATTTAGTTAACAGTCGGGATTTCTTTATGAGGTTTGGGCTTTGTTTTTCATTTGTAGGTTTTTTCCTAGACTGAGAGGTTGCTCTAATGCCAGCTCTTTTAATGTCATTCCACTAATGAGAGCACTTCAAAATTACTGGATTTGCTCAGTTTTTAGAATTATGTCTGAGAGAAAGAGGGTTCAATCTGCCATCTAAGAGCAACATCTGTACAGTAAGCTGTAGCTTTATACTGTACCAGACTAGGCGCCTCTGGAAAGTGCAACTCTGAGCTGTTATCATGGGGATGTCCTTCTGAAAGATTTTTGGAAATGAAGTCCTGGTCTGTCTAGGAAGGGGTACCTGAAAACCCTACCAGCCCTCCTACATACAGCACCCATACAGATTTTTTCTTCTAGTCTTCAAGTAGACTTGAAGACCCTTTAGCTCACAGCTGCTTTCTTGCACTGGGTGCTGCCAGTGAAAGCAGCTCTGTTTGGTGTGTGCCCTGCTCACTCTATGTGTGCTGACAGTGCTGCCACTTCCCAGGCTGCCAGGAACTGCTCACATGCTGCAAAGGTCTGTCTTTATTCAGACTGCTGGGTATCCAAGGGCAAGGCTATGATGAAGACAACCCAAAGGAGGCTTGCTTTTTCCTTTTCTCTGCATTTTGGCTAACACGAAGAGCCAATGTTCCATGCTTCAGTGGCGTCACCTTCTACTAGCCAGATCCAAGCAATGCTCTTGGGTACCGACATTCTCTTCTCCAACATGTGTTTTCTCTGTACCAGGAGGAAATTTTTGAGCTTTCTACTCTGGGCTTCTTTCCTGTGTCCTGCGAGAACTTTTTTCTGTTCATTATTTCCCTTCCAGAAAAGCTATGTTTTTGGACAAGGGTGGGGACCTTTATTTCTCTCACAGGAAAGAGTCTTGGGCACTTTTAACTACATCTTATGCCCAAGAAAGTAGCAGTGGGCTACAGTACAAAACAGCTGCTGCTGCTCAAACTTGAATTACTCATCTGAGTAACTAGATTTCCCTAATTAGGACTACAAGTTTCAGAAGTGTGTCGGGGTGTTTTTCACTACATCAAAATGTAGACATCTGTTCTTTGTTAATCTTCCAGTCTTCTGCAGTCAGCGAAGAGACAGACCCTCTTGGATGATTTTTCCCAAGTTTTGTAAGGTGGGATGAATCAGCTTTTAAGTTCTTCAGACATCAGCAACCAGATTTTTAAATTTAATTAAGGCCCATTTAGAACTCACAGCTTTATGCTTTCATCTTTTAAAAGAATCTGAATCCTCTGAAAACATTTCTTAGCTACTTTGATAAGATGCTTCTTTAATGGTAACTCGAGGATGAAATTTCCTAAATGTACTTTTTTTCATGGCCTTATATATACAAAAAAAGTAATTTACAGATAATGAGCAACATTGTCTTGGTGCTACTTGTTCCATACTGGGAAAACCAGAGTTTGTCAGATATTTTTATTTCCACACATTTGGCCTCTGCTGTTCTGACTCAAACACTCATAATTTTCCTTGCAGTTTTGGGGTTTTGGCTCTTCTGGTTTATAATTCTACCAATAACATCAATTTAGAAGAGGAAGACATCCGACAGAAGCTCATAAGTAATAATGGGACCATGGAAGGAGGATATAAGATTCATACTGTTGATGTTGATCCAGTGGGTAGGTAGTTTTTGGCTTTGCTACAACAGATTTTGTTTGCTTGTCCATAAGTAAGCATTTTCTGTGCTCTACTAATCTCACATTGCCAAGCGGTATGGCTGTTTCAAATTTTAAATTTTTCCTGTAAGCCTCATTGTTCCACTAATCTCGGAGAGCTGTGCTCAAGATACCTGTTTTAACGCAAATGCGGTTTTCCAGACTGCTTTAGTCAGTTTTGCTGTCTGGTTCAAAGAGGCTGGGACAGTTCCTGACAGCTCCTCTTCTAAGAAGTATGATTTACAGCCAGAGCTTTCGTGAGACATTTTGGACCTCCAAGGCCCCTCATGCCCACTCCTCCACCCCGTTGTTTGTGCTCCTGCCAGTTGCTGTCCTTAATCGACTTCCTTTTAGCTCTCATCTTTTACCATTTAGCTTCTTGCAGAGATTGCCCTTCCTTTGAGAGGGAGGAGGTGGGGGCTGGTGGAGTGCATGTGGAATGCACAGCATGCATGGTTCAATCCTGTGTCTCAAGCACCAGCACTATATATTGTCCCCTGTTGTGGCCCCTTCCATTGCCACTACTCTGTAGACAGCAACCAAGCATTTAATGTAAAGACAGCTTTGCACTGTAGACTGGGTGATAAGATGAGGAAGAAGTGGAAGATGATTAGATGAAGAAATTTACCATTAACACTGATACACTTTTATTGTTACAGAAAAATGTTTAGCAGAAGAAAACCCTCCAAACTATTTTTGGCCAGATACCAGACCAACTGTTACCAACTTCACATTATGCCATGGGAGCTCTGTTCAGACTGCATCAAGAACCTGGTAGGTTTTCAAATACCTAAGAAGCTGAGAGCTTCAAATGCAACTTTCTGGTTATATTGTTAAACTGCATCCTGCATAATGGTTGTCACTGGCTGGTATTGTATTTCAGGAAGATGATTTCTATACTGTGAGAGATTATGTGTGTACAGTAAGAGTATGTACTTCACTGATAAGAAAAAAAAGGCTCATCTACCGCTTCTGTAGGGCAGTTGAGGCCCACAAGTAATACGTGTTCAAAGTGACTATAAAAATAGCACCTTTATACAAAATTAAACTGCTCTCTTCTAGTCTTGATGTTTATGTTATTGAAACCAAAGTTTCATATTTGCTACCTCTCAACTACTACTATCTGACTTGTATAAGAAATTTCAACAAAATTTGATGATGAGTGGTGTAATTGGTTTAATCCAGATCATCTCATGTCATTAAGAGAAAGTAAAAGAAATTCTGTGAAACAAGCATTTTGCTAGTAGTTAGTCAGGATTGAAGTTGGGGATAATCTTATGCTTAAAGATTTAAGCTTGTATTTTTAAAAACACATGGTTTAGCATAAATTTTCCCTACTGTTGGCTTTCTTTGTGAGCATTTAATAAAGATTTAGACACCATATCTCTATTTCACATTTGTAAAATGGTAGTATTATTACTTCCTTTGCTATATTACCAAAACAATATGGCTTTGATCTCCTTTCAGTGGCTTGAACATGGCTATGATGTGTTATTTAATTTTATCAGTATTTAGGATGATCACCATTACATGTAATACAGTAGTCTTATCTGCCCACATTACGTCTGGAACATGTTCTGAGAAGACCAGATCTTTTACTTTTTGAAAACAATATGGCAACATGAATATGAATCAGCTTTGAGCATCTGTGCCAAACAGGAAAGCAACCAGCATTATATGTAACTAACTCACTTCCTCAGCCTCTTAATCTTATACAAGAACTGCTGGATTCTAATAGACCAACTTTTGTTGTAGAGTGAGTAGTGCAGAAGTCAAATTGTTTTTGTGTCAGAACCTCAGAATCATTAAAAATTAAGGCTTCTGGTCTTTGCTGCCCCATATTGCTTATCTTTATTGTTCATGTGTGGTCTGCACAATACGTTGATTGTCCATGTACAGCACTTCTCATGAAAAAAAAAAAGTACATGTTCTGCACTGTGCTATGCTTTCCTTGACTCTGCATCCACTAGGTTTTGCTAATGTGGAGTACAGGTGGGATGTGTTTTGAGAGAAGAGGAAGCTCTTCTAAGGCCTTCTTCTAATCCTGTACTTCCCACAGTGGAAGGTTACCAACTAGTGTGCTGTTATAATAAAGTCAATCAATGGAGGAATAACTTTATTCTATCATGTGCTGAATGAAAGGATACATTCTTCCTGTTCTCCATTCTGCCTTTGCCTTGCTATGATAACATGACTGTGTTTAAAGAAAACTGAGGAGCAAAGCGTGGTTCATTTCAGAGCCATATCTGGGTATTTTGCTATGGTAAGGCTTTTTTTAAAAAGCATTTTGAAAAAACTGTTTATACGTGACCCTCACCTGGGACCTGGATCTGACGGTGACTTGCCCCAGTTTTCAGCGGTGGCATAAATTTATATATCTCCACATAGCTCCTGTCCTTGTTCTTCTTACAGTTTGCCATTGGCATGATCAAAACCATTTGTATCAGATGGAAATTATGGAAACAGCATCTGATGAGGTCATAGTAAGGGCACAGTAGATTTTGTCAACATTTTGCTCTTTCCTGAAATGCAAGGCCAGAATTTCTACTAATGCAGTTTATCAAATCAGTATAGCAATCAGCTGGGAATTTGTCCAAAAGAGCAAGGGTTTGTCTCAGCACTGTCACTTAATTGTTCACATATTTACACTGACAAGCATACATATTTCATTTTACTAGGGGCCATGTTGCTAGGACAGTTGTGAATTGAGAAGAGTTGACCACTGTGACTCCTATAGAAGAATTATGAAAAATTTATATAATGCATGCTATTGTATTTCATGTGAATTTTGTCATTTTTCCCCTTTAGCTATTTGGGTCTGCAGAATTATACATCATACTGGGGCCAGCCTGATCTTAGAAATTGCACAGGTGTGTATATTGATACTGGTCTTTGGCTAAAGGAATAGTTTTGTAGGCCTTGGTTACCGCTTGCTGTAATGAAGTTACATTAAGGAAGAAAATATTCCTTTATGCTGGGTTGCTTAAAATCTGTCTAAAAAGTCAGTGCAAATGTAAAATATTTAAATTCTGGGGAAGTACATCAAGTTGAATTCAGCCCATCCATGAAAAGCTCTGGGTACCAATTCATGAAATAAATCAAACTCTAAAGGTAATTCAGCAAGAACTGAAGCAGGTGGTAGCTTGATATTCAGATAAATTTTAAATGTTTCCAGTGCCTGTAAGTGCCAGTGGAAAGGCTCCCACTCTCTTCACTGGGTTTACAATCAGAAATTTTCAGATTTTTTCTCACTTTGCAAAATACCCCTTGGTGTCATTCTAGCCTTAAAGGAGTAATGAAACAATAATAACAATTTTATGGCCCCCATTTTTAGTGCCAGTGCTAGTGAGGAGAATGATACTTACCTAAGGAATTCAGAGCACCTACACTAAGCTCCTGTTCTAATTTGCTTTCTTGAAGAAGCACCCTCACTGATAGAGGGGTCCTAGGGGGCCTGGCTACCTATCTTGTTTGATTGGGTACTCACAGTCAGACTATAGGAAACCATTATTTCATGTAAAATGAAAATTCTACAGTAAAGGTAGCAAAAGCTATATTATAAAACGCAGCATTAAAAAAAAACACATCCAGTTGCAAACTAAAGAAGCCCTGTCTTCTTTCAAAATCTTACTTACAAATTCCAATAAATCTCAACTTTTATATTTTAAAATTTAGTGTTTACATTAGTTTTCTATGGCATCAAATTTATGGTTTAACACGTGATTTACTCTGATATTTTGCCATTGGATAAACTGTCAAACTTCCCTTACCAGGAAGATTCTTGTCAAGAAATATGCTTGTGTGTTGTGCTTGCCAACCCAGTATAAGCACGACCTTCTGAAGGAACTGAAACACTTGCAATGTGGTCAGACTTTCTCCCTCAAGCTTAGAAGAGTTAATACTTTGTCAGTAATAGTGACTTCAGATGCATTTGTTTCATTTCAAAGTGAAACTGTTTTTTTCCCAGTGGAAAAAAAAAAAAAAAGGATAGCCTAAGGAGAAAAAAAAGAGAGAAAATATGCTTTTTATTTCTTACTTCCCCTTTTTCCTTTCAATCAGCCATTTCAATAATAGTTCTAATTTGCAAACTCAAATCAAATTAAGGCAAGAAAGACACAGCCCCAATGAGGACAGCAAGTTCTATATAGCTTTTCAGAAAATTATAGATTTGTTAAAATTATAAGGTCCTATGTTCAAGTACCACAGAACATGCTGTAGCTTTCAACAATGAGGATAAAAATGTGTATTTCTGAATATTTCAGGACTGATATACATTATGTTCTCTTTTTACTTCATTTTACCTATACACTTACAGAAAATGCAGCTGACATAGCCAATCAGCTTCTGAATCTCACTGGTGAAGGGCAACAGCTAACCTCAGACAAAGTGAATGATGTTGTGCAGAAGCTCAAAAAAATTGTGAACGATGAAGAAATTGATGAATCTCTGGGTTCTACCGTGGTGACAATTTTTTCCAATATTCTAACCAGTTCAGACAGTGTACTGGCAGCATCATCTTCAGAGTAAGTATTTCTGCATTTAAGTCAAGGTTTTTAGAGCAACCTGCAAGGTTGGAAGGATATGGTTTAGTGTGAGGTGTCCCTGCCCATGGCAGGGGTGTTGGAACTTGATGATCTTAAGGTCCTTTCCAACCCTAACTATTCTATGATTCTATGATTCTCCCTTCTATTTATAGATGAACAACCACAGTGATTTTGATCAAAAATAATTTTCCAAATTAGATATACAAATATTTCTTCTTGTACTAAAATGAATGTGCATGACAAAGATGATGATAAAGTGTTTGGATGGAATTCTCCTGTTACATGACACAGCATAGATCTAAGTATTGTTGGAAACTTATTTCAGGGCCAGTGATATGTAGTCAGATAGTTTTTCTTAATCAAAACCTTTTATTTTCAACAGAGATGCCTAAATTTACAGCCTGAGTGTCTCCTTGTGAATACACAGATGAGTGATAGAAACATAGTAAAAGGATCATCTTAAATGTGGAGAGTAAAAAGAGCATAGTATTTTTTTTTTTCCTGTTTTCAGTTTTTATAATAATTTTATTTCTGGTTTTAGAGCTCTAAAAACTATTGATGCCTTGGCTTTAAAGATCCAGTTCACTGGACCATCCATGAGTATTTCAACGCGAAACCTCGCACTTGGAGTGTCTTCTATAAACTCGACTTCATTCAGAGGTGGTTCTTTCAGTGTCAGTCCACAAAATAATGCATCTGATTTCCAGGTATGGAACAAGCAGTTATATTGGAACATGAAATGTGCCTGTTGTTCAGGTGTCTTTACTGTGCTTTTATAAAACCGCAGTTCCCAGTTTTCCCCATACTTTTTATTTCCTCTTTCCTGCAACCATCCAAACAAATTAATGTAGTATTTCTTTGAGTGACAGGAAACCCAGATAAAGTCACATGTTCCATATGGATAAAAAGTATTTTCCTTACAGATCCAGGACGGATCCATTTCATGTTCTATTTACGTTCTAATAATGAAAAGGGAAAATGGTCTCTAACAGTCTTCTCTATCACCCATTGTACGCTAACAGACAATTCCATTGATGCATTTCAGCTTTAGACTAAGACGTCTAACTGTAGGTATTTACATGTAAATTTCTACATATAAAATAGGTCTTCAATATTCCAGTAGAGTTTAAAAACTTACTGCTAACAGGGATGTAAGGCTGATCCAGTTGTCCACACATAGGTTGCTCCGTTGGCGATGTTTGAGGTGGTTCAAGACATTCATGTGGAGCTTGAACAGCCTAGACATGAAAAATGAAGAAAAAAACTACTTATCACACAAAATGCATAATGGTCTCTAGTGCTACAGTATCTAGACAGGCTGCTGTAGTTAAGATATTTGTCATCACAAAATACTTTTTCTTCTTTTTTTTCCACAAATAGAAAAGCCTAGACATCTAAAAGCTATGAAACAGCATTTGAGAAGCACATGAACACCCATTGGAATTTTCCAAAGATTCTTTTGAAATCAGTAGCAATAAGGTGCTGAAACTTTTAAAATTCCACTATATGCCTGCTTGCATCTTATGGCACCTAAATGCTTTTTAAAATGTAGTGCAGTGTCTTTTTTTCACAGTTATATGAGAAGTCTATGACAGAGGTAATGTAATCTCAGTTTCCTGGGAATCTAACTATTAGAATGTGGTGAGTCTTACTTGGAGAAAAACACAAAAAGGATTAAACAGGAGTAGTAAAAAAATCACCCATCACTTGGTAGAGGAAATAAAGAGGAATTCAAAAAGGAACCAAAGCTGAATTCAAACGAAACGTGCCATTATGCCATTATGAAAACAGGCTAATCACTGGGGTATAAACTTATAGAACAAAACAAAATTCCTGCTGCAAATTGGTAAGACAACAAACCTAACATATGTCTGATCATTTTATAAAGTACTGTGTACTGTAAAAATCAAAAATAATAAAGGTGCCAGAAAAAGTAGTAGTAGCATTATAAGGTGCAGGCCTTTTACATGCTATGTATATAAACCTTGGATCAAAACTCAAATGCTGATTTGAATAGATACAAATGGATGTAATGTAATCAAGTTTTCACATATTTATATTTATATAAATTTGGGGTAAAATTTCTTTGAATCAATTTTATTAGAAATCTTTAATGATTGTAAATCTGCTGTTGTTTAGGTCTGTTATTCATGAAGCTAAATAGCTGATTGTTCTTTGATTATTATCAAAGGAATGCTTCTTATCCAGATTTTATCCTGTATTTATGGAAAGAGGAAAGGAAAAATTCTGAAGCCAGGTTTGGGATATTTGCATGTATAATAAGAATTACCATCTGTGGCTTGAGGACATCCAGGAATTTTCTTGCCCTGGAATCATTTCTTACAGCACTGTCTAAATAATCATAGAATCCAAACTCCATCAAATTATTTATAATGTTCCTATTGGAACATGAGTTTATTCTAAGACTTTCACATTTCCAGCAGATGATTGATGGAGAATTCTTAGCATCCTTCCTCCCAGAAAAGTCTGCAGCAGCTGGGTCACCGTTTAGATTTTCCATGCCTGTCGGAAAGATACTTGTTATCCCTGCTGGAGGTAGATTCCCTTGTGAAAACCCAGGTTTTTCACCAGTGATGTGATGACCTATCCCAGGCTCATCAGGGAGCATTAAACTCTTCTAGCTGTATATCAGAATGTTTCCAGAGTTTATTTTTTTTTTTTATAGTAGATATTAAGCAAAAGTGTCCATGGCGATTTGGAAAGATTCTATTTCAGTCCCCTGTACTTTTACATTTCTTGCCAAACCTTTGACTGAGCTAGCTTTTGGTGATTCATATTATTAAATTGTTCCTGTAATATATCCATACTTCTTTATAGAAGCTTCTTCCATTCTATTTGCTGACTGTATCTAATGAACAACTTTATCACACGCAGACTTTCTGTTTAATATGGCACCATTATCCTTTCAAAATCATTTATTCAACTGCTTCTAGCCATGTCAGGAGATATCTGTGAGCCATTTCTTACTAATTTCCAAGGGTGCCTGTTATTCACAGTAAAACTGCGAAAATTTGCAACTTAAATAAATCTGGCGTATGGCTTTTAACTTTCTATTAGCTAATGGTGCTTTAAGAATCCTGTGGCTGAGCATGAGAAGCATAAATATGTGATAAAGTTGCCTCTGGAGAACTCAGGATTGTGAGTTTCCTTATATCACAGTAAAATGCTTAATCGCTTTTTCTATAGAGCCACTGTGAGATGGCTTGCTCCCCTTTTGATGGATAAGGTGGAACGCCATGAAGGAAGAGCATGCAGTCATAGAATTGTTTATTGGTAGCTGATGAAATGCAAGTTTGCATCCTCATTCTTTTCCTGGTCACTTATTACATCCCTATGCCATAGAGGGCTTTCAGCTGTCTGACATTTTGCAGGTATAGATTAAGCTTATATTGATGCCAGAAGGTGTCTTTTCTTTGTGCTACATAGCATGACAAACACTGAGAGATGATGCTAATCATTATTGCAAGATCTCCTTTCTGTAATAGAGAAACAAGAAAAGCTCATGAGAAAATTAAGATGTGGAGATCAAATGATGCAACTCAAGAAAGTAGGATTCAGAACTTGTTTTTCTTTTCTCAATATTGTTTGGTATGAGGAGAAGCATCTTGAAGGTTACTGAAAATTACTGACTGCTACTATTGCCATCTCATTACTTCCAAATCATCATTATAGCAGTGGGGGAGGTTTTCTGTTTGTTGGTTTTATCTAATACATTTTTGTAGAAGGCTGATCTCATGCTGAAAGAATGGGAAAACCTCCCAGGCCTTTATTTATTTATTGCATCAGTTCTTACATAGGTACAGGTCATATTAGTTTGGTAACTTCTAGCTGCATGTTTACATATCTTTGTGTAAGGATGTGAACCCAGTTGTGGACAGTGGATGGTTTCTTTTTTGTTTGAACATTTTCTTCTGTTCTTTTTATTTAACAGATAGATTTTGACAAAGATCAGACAAATGCCATCGCTTCTGTTGTTCTGCCACCAAGTTTACTGAAGAATCTAAGTCAAGATGAGTTTGAAGTTATATCCAGGGCTCAGTTTACTTTCTTCAATAAAAATGGTCTTTTTCAGGTAAACTTTAATGTGTTTGTGTGTGAATTTCAGTTAGGGTGAGTCAAAGCCAGCTGCTGAAAGTTTCCTGTAGTTTAATCATTTCACAGCATCTCATGAGTTACAGGAATGAGAAGGTGATAGCAGATGTAGGCACTAGAGACAGTGTTATGTTCATAGTGACGTAGTCACATTGCTGAAGTTGAATTAAAGCCAACTTTTGGCTGTAGTTTGATTGACTGCAAATTGATTATAGAATCATAGAATCATAGAATAATTAGGCTTGGAAAGGACCTTAAGATCATCTAGTTCCAACCCCCCTGCCGTGGGCAGGGACACCTTATGCTAAATCTTGTCACCCAAATTGCACATTCCTGTCACATGTGAAATAAACTTTTTCTCAGGGTAATCTGTGGAAAACTGTATCCCAGCTGATTAGACTCAGAGTAAAGTGGCAAGGCCTTTTAAACAGCATAATTTCTGTTAAAATGTATTAATATAAGTCGTTGATGTTCAGTGGAGCCAGATTCTTTTCTATCGGAAGGGAATTTGGCATTTAACACTGCCAAGTACTCTTTCTTTCTCTTTTCCTTAAAACAGTTGGGTGGCCCTGATATCCACCTGAATACTTATATTCAGTTGGAAACTCTGAGCTGGTGGTCATCAGCCAAAGAACATTTGTTTCTATACATACTATTATTCTTTCCACATATGGGCTCTCATAAGCACACTGTATTTTAACATGGGATAACAGTACTTGTACCTGAACGCCAAGAGAACTCAGGTACATTTGACTTTTTTTCTCCTTTGGGTCCCAACACATGTTAATTATAAATAGTTCCTGCATAGCAGATGTGAAAAAAATTAGGAAGAGTTCACAGCTTGGAAAAACAATCAAAAACTTACATATTTTGAAAAAAAAAAAGTTAATTAAGAAGGAAACATTGTTACATACTTAACTGCTGACTGAGTCTCAGAAGGCTTGAGTTTGTTTTCCCATTAGTATTTCAAATGAACTTTGGCTCCTGTGCATCCGCAGAACTCTGTAGTATTGTATTGTCCCTATATTATCGTTTTTATTGGCAGTGTATCCAGATTCTTAAGATAATCTAGGCAAGAAAATACTCATGACCCTCAGTTGCCTTCTGAAATACACTCCTAAGTATTAACTATTTAAAATAATATTAATTTTAGGCCACTGTTGATAAAAAACAGGATGGATATATTTAATTAAAAAAACCCAGAAGACTACAGATGTAGGCTCGTCATAATGGCATAAAAACATATAAAATCAGAATTTGTCCTTTAATGGTTTGAACTGGTTTCTAAGGGATACTTAATCACTGGAAAGCAGAAACCATGAAAATTTGCATCTAAATACCTTCTTTTTTTGGTGTGTTTTTCAAACTATTTATGGCTGACATGTTCAATGTAATTTATTAAAAATGTGTAAAAATCTCATTTTGGTAAGTCTAAAAATTAAGTAAATTAAAAGTAAATAAAGGCTAAAAATACAGCCTAAAAATAAATTGACCCACATAGAATCACAGAATTGTACATGCCATCTCAAACCCAATAACTTTATCCATTAGTATAAAAGTATTTCATAAATATTTATTACAGTTGCAAGTAAAAATCCCAATGCTATTGGCTGTGTTTCTTACAAGCATTCAATATAACAGTGAAACGGCATGCTTTAAAGCACTGGAGGGTTGTTTGTTTTTTTTTATTGCAACTGAGAAAATACTAGTAATTTTTATCTTGTGATTCATAAAAATATGATTGTTACATTACTTGTAAGTCTGTATGAAAAGCTGATGTAAGATATTCAGGGTAGGATGCATTTCACCAAACATAGGTGTGTTCAGCATATATACCTATGCCTGAACTGTTGTCCGTAAATTTCCTTCAAAGCCACTTGATGGAAAAGAATTAACAATGTTGAGATGTGACACATCTCATCCTGGTGCAGGACTAGGCATCAGACAAAGGGGTGCAATTTGCAACACCCCAAGGTAAAAGGTACTACTTACTGGCTGACAGATGTGACAATAAATCTGTAAGAGATGTGAGATCTTCTGCAGTAGCAGCTAAAGACTGGACAGGATACTTTAAAGCCTCTTACAATGGACACATATTTTTAGGCGACCCATATTCAACCTAGATAATTTAGAAAGAATAGGTAAGATGTATTATGCTCTGGACATACTGATTTCCTATCTTTGACTATGTTAAGAAACACTGGAATGGCTACTTCATTTCTAGACATCTTCTTTTTTGCATGTGTAAAGTTATTTGAAAGGGTCATCCTCATGAGTTCTGAGGCCATGAAAATAATGTACGAATATGATAAATACGTGAATTGTTTTGATTGCTTAAACTAGACCAGGTTTATGTCATTGAAACTAGCCTCAGCATTGCTTTACTTTGTACCTCTATGTATTTTGCTAGCTGAAAGCTTACCCCTAATTTAGCTGAGCACAGCCTTATAGCTAAATAATCAGTTACCTGTATTCTACTTTAATGTAAACCTTATTTCTATTCCTTTATAAGGACAAGTAAGCATATATTATAAAGAGACCAATCGATACTAATTTCTGCTTTTTATCTGCAGGAGATAGAATACATAAAAAACCATCAAAATCTGTGCAAAGGCTTCCATAGAATTGACTAATATTGAAATTTAGGTGGTAGCCAAGAGATTTTCTCTTTTTTAAATGCTAAAGAACTATCCAGAAAACTGCATTTTCATTTCTTTGCAATTTTTCAGTTTTTAGGAAATTATGTTTCAAAGCTTCAGTATAATCTGAAATACTGTGTTTAAAAACTCTTGGATATGGTTCTTAAGAAAGAAAATATTCTTCTCAGGATAGTGTGCACTTAATAACTGAAGCTATTCTGTGTCTCATGACTGGTGGGGTGTCATGAGCCCAGTACTGGTATCTGACATCTTGTGAGGCTAACAAAACCCCTGGACTGAAGGAATCAGGGGTTTAGGAGTTTGGCCGCCCAGATTTTTGGAGGTAAAGTGAGTGGCAATAGATTATTTGACCTAAGATCTGCCACAGGCAGTAACCAAGCTTCTCACCTTCCCATGAGGCCAACCAGGCATGTAATTATGAGGTTTCAGTGGAAGGTCATCAGAAGAATATAGGATTTCCAAAGCACTTCCATATTAGTAAAACATCAGTTTTCAAGGAAAACTTATCTTTTGGAAAATTCTGAACCTGGTACTTTTTCACTGCAGGTTAGAAATGGTACTGCTTATTGACAGCATCAGCCTTTTATTTAAAATCCCATCAAATAAGACATTCTAGATATTACTCTCTCCTACAGTCTATAACATTGTTTTGAATTTGTTTACTACTTCTTATTCATTCTAAGATGGAGGATGATTTAGCAACAATACACAGAAAATATTTTATGCTTCAAAAACTTTGCATCTACTAAAAAGGATAGTGTTGACAATAAGATAAGAAAGCTAGTTCATTATTGTTTAAGGAAATGAGCTAATCATATCATGGGTTGTTATCTGCTGCATTGTTTGAGTCATAATTTTTTTGGCATCAGGCATAATGATTAAAAGGAGAATTTAAGCCTTCTAACCTCTCCAGAATAATTGTGCCTATATGTGTTTATGGCTATATGGAAAATAGGGAAACTTCCGTGAGGGAAACCCATAATTTGATTGAATAGCATAATGTTCTTATATTGCATGATCAAAAGTGCAGAAATGCTGACAACTTACTTACTCTATCACTCTGTAAAAATGAAATTGTGTACTCTGGCTTTTATGTTACCTGCTATGTAAGCTTTTATTATATTTTTCTGAATCTTTCAAAGGATGCAGAAAATCCTGCTGATTTGACCAGTTTTGTGGTGGCATGCAGTATTGGAAACATAACCATTCAGGATCTTCAGGATTACGTGAAGGTTACAATTAAGCATACCAAAATTCAGGTAAAACAAGACTCACCATTCAGCGGAAAAGAATGCAGATTATGTATAGGCAAAGCATATAGCCTGATTCATTTGGATGGATTTTTTGCCACTCAGAGGCAATTTCTGTGCCATTAACTGTAGGCAGCACCTCTGTTCATGACCAAATTCACAACCAGTGACCAGGGATATGATTTATTACACCTCAGCTTTAGAATGACTTAAATTGTTTGATCAAGCGTGAATTGCTTTGTTAATAGTTCCCCATGTTATTTTGTTGTCATGTGGTTTTCATCAAAGGAAGAATGGACAGAATCATGTTGTTAAAAGATGACTACAATTAATTTAGGGAAATACAGACCAAATGTAACCTTTGGCTACATGCTGTTTCAGTTAAAAAATATGTGAGCTTGACTCTGTTCTGCATGTTGTCAATAGCTACTCCAAAAGAGACAGCACTGTAGAAGTTAAGACAGAATGTTAAAATGTTAAAATGCAGTACCTAAGAAAACTGTTTATATAGTGAGAGCCTGTTTTGTAATTTTCACAGTTTGATTAACTTGGATTAATCTTATGTTTCATTATAATTTAATATTTTGTCAGGCAAAACAACCTTCCCTTAAATTCAGCAGGCTTTTGCACGTTTTCTAGGCCAGTTACATAGAGGATTCACTTAAAAGTCCTAAGGAAGTGAACAGTAAAAAGTATTTAGAGTCTGTAAAGACATCATATTCATGGATAACTGTAGTGAGAAAATAAAACGTCATTATTCTGAGGATGTGGAAAAGGAGCAGTTCAAAGGAACAGTGCTCTAGATTTTATAATCTAGGCAGCTGTGTCTTTCTAGCAGAGTACTTTTTAAATTGCCAGTAGACAAAATTTCAAGAATCCGAATGATATTTAGTCTTCTGCTCATTTAATGAAAAGATATGTAGTAAAACTTCTGCTGTAAATGTATATGTTGATAAGACTTGTCTGAAGAGGTATACAAAGCCTAATTTTGCATATGTTCTTAGGAAGATCCTAAGCCTACCTGCGTCTTCTGGGATATGAACAAAAATGGTAAGTTTAAAATTACTGTATTTTCTTTTATGTGGGGAATAAAAGTGTCTAAGTTTTAAAATTGGACACAGACTTGGCCATTTTGCTTCTTAATCAGTCCTTGCAGAATTCAATGAAATCTTTAGATTGTATTTTTTCTTCTGGTTAGTACAGTTGCTTGCAACAACAGAGGTTAAATATACTTTACTTTTAGAAAATTTTTAATGTTAATTTGTTTAGCATTTTAAATTTGTAAATTAATTTTTTCTACTTTTCTGTATCTGATAGCAGTTTCTCACTGATCTGTCTGTATCTGTTAATTAAAAAAGTAATGCTACACAGACAAATGAATGGTTCTTAGCCATATTTTTAATTGATCGTTTTTTATATGTTGTGTTATTTAATTCTGAGATTGTGCCTGTTACAAATCTTAAGCTCGTTTTTCTTCCATAGAAGGTTAGGAACTGCATTACACAAACCTCATCCACCTTGTAAACAGATGGCAGTCCAGCATGATGAGGTCTCATATGGAGACATTAACAAGACAGCATTTTAGCCCATTCTTCATTGCTACTGTCTAACCCATGTGTGATGTTACACTCAGGTTCTTCATTCTTTGCAAAGACAAAGTCATTCTCTGGGATGAATTTCCAGATCCTTCTACTTTAGAAGATCACTACTGAGATATTTCTCTTCCTTACAGTGAAACAAATAAAGCAAAGAAATAACTGTCCTTACCAGGAGGATTCCCAGGGGAGAGATTTAGTGTTGCAAGAAATAAAATTTACCATCCAAACTTGTCCTTGAAATCGTGAAATTCAACAGAAGAACTGAAGAGAATGCAGAAGGATAAAAATGAGGGGGGGCTGGGTGGGATGGGTAAGAATAATCTATTTTGGAAACTAAACTTAAGAAGGAGAAACACACAGGGAGAAAAGTTTTTCTAGTAGCTGCTTGAATGGGGGAGACTTTTAAGTGGTTTTGGAACATCATCGCAGTCTTTTGAGAGATTCTGTCTTGAATTTGGGGTAAAGTTATAGGGCCAGTCAGGTAATTTGCTGATTTTGCCTGGAGCTGTGCAAAAATGTCCTAAGAGTTCAGAGAATACGAACTATTTCACAAAATTAGTTCATGTTTTAGCAGGAGAAAAATGAAAGAAGAAGTAACTAGAAATACAAATTTTACTTTTTACCTTTCTATTTTTAAAAAGATAATATTTCTATTTATTTATCATAATGGCCTTTTCAGGTGAGGTGGGTAGGGGATTGTTTACTTCATGTTTTTTCTGAAGGCCACAAAGGATCATTGGGATTATCCACGCTGACCTTGTGCATTACATGCTCCAGAGAGGAAGGGTGGGACCCTCTGCTCCAGGCAATAAATGCTTTCATGTGCCTGGGGATATATAAGTAGAGGGAGGTAGGTGCAGACATTATGTCAGTGTGTTAAAAAGGAGTTATAAAACCTGTTGGGTAAAACTAAGCTGTGTTTTAATGAGTGATCCACAAAGTCATTCATCAGCTCAAAAAAGCTTCCTACTTTTTTAGATCTTGGTCTATTGCTTCAGCTCAGTTGTCCGTTACTGGGACACTCATCTGGTGTGATTCTCTGCAGAAACTAGGAAATCTGACACTTGCTTCTCTCCTAATTGTTTTTTATGTTCACTTATACAATTTGAGAAAGCATTTGCACAAGATGAAATGAGAAATGTATTAGAAGAGAGAATGACATGAGTTTGTGGGAAAGTACAGTTTCTCCTCTTTGATTTCCACAGGTGGAAGTGGTGGCTGGAGCCCTGAGGGCTGCCAGGTGGACACAGAATCCAATGAAAATGAGACGGTTTGCTTATGCAATCACCTCACACACTTTGGGGTCCTAATGGTAGGCAAACTCACTGTTCACTAAGTTACCTTTTCTAGGAACTGCAATGCAGTTTTTGTCTTGGGTCAAGAACACTCATATTTTTCTTATCATCATTTTCCCCATTATTGTCATAAAGTTATTTTTTCATAACAAAATAGCTAGTGATAAGGACTCAGGAATGAGGTAATGAATAAAGTTAGCAATGAAAGTATGTTGTTGTTGCTGTTTTATTGTTATGATTATTATTGAGTTCTTTACAAGTGGCTAAATATTTAAAAATAAAAAATTGTGCCCATAAGAGTATTCTATATTTTAAAAGTACTGTGCCACAAAAGACCTGGTGTTGAGACTTCTGAGCAATACCAAAATACAGAGAGCATATTATACCATCCTTCAAAGCTGGGACAAGGCTCAGTGAAAAAGAAAGTCATAGACTGTAAAGTCAAGGCCCAATACTAACACTTCCACTAGTGAAACAGAAAAAAATTACCTTAATGAGTCATAAGGGTTTCTCTTAACAATATAATCTGACAAAAATGACATGCAGCTGTCACATGTAACAAGAGGGCGTAGCAAGAGGGAAGTGAACGAAGTCTAGGTAGATTTGAAATGTCAAGATCAGGGAAGTGGGAAAGTTGTTTGCAGAAAAGAAAAAAAGTAGGAGAAAAAGTTCAGGTGCTGTTTTCAGAACAATAAAAGAGAGACTCACATTGTCAGGGAAAAGAGTCATGGGGAAAAAATGTCCTAGCGTCAGTAAAATGGCTAAGGAAGATGAAAAGTCAAGGGAGCACAATAATTCCCTTTCATCCTGAGATTCAAGAGACTAAATCATCCCTCACAAATTTAGGTTGCAAATCTGACAATATTTATATTTATCTACTGCCAAAAAGTATAGATCAGTACCTTCTTTCCTGAAATGTGTACACCTCTACTTGCTGTTTTCTTATAAACGGCTTTAATCAGCTTTGGGGATGCCTTGCAGTACAAGCCTTTTCCTGGAAAAAGACTGCTCACTGAGAGCTCATATAATATGTGTAACTCATACTCTTTCAGAGCCTTAAGCAAAGTCTCCAGACAGGGTGGCTGGGATAGGTAGGGCATAGCCTATCAGGGAGATGAAAAAGGGAAACGTACAGAGCACTTTAACCACAGTATCATAATTCTTCTGGCACTTCATTCAAGTGTCTCCAGCAATTTGCACATGAAGTCTTTTTGAGAGGAAGAAAATCTCAACATTTAAAAGATGGAATACTGTTACCTTGTATTAACATGTGGAGATTTTTTTTATGCTCAGTAGTGGGCTGGAACATTTCTTTCCATCTAAAATGAACATTCTTTGGCCTCTAAAGCATACCTACATAAAAGATATCTGCTCTTGATCACAACAGTGCTCCTACTGGAAGTTTTTGGGGTTTAATTTAACTTGTTTCAGTGACACATAGGACTTGACTTAACTGAACAAGGGAGCCCCGTGCACCAATTTTTTCAGCTTTGGCTTTCCAGATCCTTCTTAACAGAGCTACTCTCTTCATGTCAGGCTCAGATGTACATATGAAAAAGCCACATGCTTTTTGTCTTTTTGCAGGCTAAATTGTAGTCTTGTTTCACTTTTCATCCTCAAACACAGAAAAAAAGAGCTTTCTGTAGGGTATAGTCAATGAGTCCCTTCTCTTCTCCGAATGCTTTTGTGGCACTTTGAAATAAGGCAGAAGTTCTCTGAATCTGGGCTGTGTTCCAGTAGATTTTTACATAGTTTTGACCCTTCTAATTGCTTTTCCATTTTAATAATCTTTTCTGACTTTAATTTAGATATTAAATTGTTTTCAAATAACATTCTTCTTATATATACAAACTGTCATATAAGGTTGGGACAAGGTGTAAGAAACCTGCTTCTTCCTTTTCCTATAAAGAATGCAATCTTTGGAGCATTTCATTCTTTTTGCTAGATAATTTTCCTAGGGACAGCTACTGTAAAATGGACACCATTATGTGTTAGTATTTGCTTACATTTACTCCACAGTGATATAGATCCAAACATTCTCATTTTTTTTGTCCTTAAAAAAAGGAAATAACACTGCCATTTATGCTCAGACAGTACTATGTGACAATTACAGCTGGACAGAAAACTGGAAAAAAAAAATCCTCAGGATGTTCCTGCTTCATTTCCAATTTTTTTTTAATGTTGTCTTTGTCACTTTTTTTCTGACCAATTCTATTTATGACTATAGTTTGCATGTCAAAACAGACCATAAAACCAAAAAGGAGTATCTTGCCCTTGGTTTCACCCATAGATGATCAGGAACTTTTAATAATGAGAAGTGATGTCAGAAACTTCCCAGAATGTTGCACATTTTAGTATGAATGCTTTTAAATTACATTCTCTTAAATCTTGCATCTTCTTAAAGAGTGTTGCTTGTAAGCAGTGGAACTAAAAATTTTGAAAAAGCAATGGAACTAAAAATTTTGAAAATTTTCCCAGAGAAGGACATTTCAGTTCCTGGTACTGAATTATAAGGGTCAGTATCAGACTCTGTCTGCTGATCCCAGCAGTTATAATACTTAACACACAATGTTTTGAAGAGCTATGGGAAGGAAGTGAGACGTGTAACAACTATAGACTAAGTATACTCAGTAAACATGAACCCTCATGTCAGGGTTACAGTAATATTGCCAAAGTGCTTTGGAATTTTACTTGACTAATTACCAAGAGTGTTGTGCACATGGCAAAAGTGTTTGCTGTGACTGATACCTCTTCCTTCTCTCTCACATAGGATCTTCAGAGAACCGTTACACAAATAGACCCACAGAATACCAAGGTCCTCACCTTTATCACTTACATAGGCTGTGGGATATCTGCTATATTTTCAGCTGCAACTCTTCTAACATATATTGCATTTGAGTAAGTATTAGTTCTGTGAAAAAGATCACAAAGGAGGTATCTGAATGTGATGAGTAAAATAAATTAGTTGTATGGTTAGTGTGGTTTATTTGTCTAGGAAAGGAAATTTTTATATATATATATATATATATATATATATAAAATTTAAAAAAAGCCTCCAAAATCATGGTCACAATGTTGTGATTTTTTTTTTTTTAAGGAGACTTAACTTTACGTTAGTGCATCTCAAAAATTTCACTTTTGGGAGTACAGAATCTTCTAGAGTCTAAACAGATATGTATTATTTTAAAATCCTCCACCAGGCTTTTAATAAAAATAAAACAAATCTTACCTGTGTGAGTATAACAAGTCCTAAGTATAAAGAGAGAAATTTCCAGCTGCATTTACATTTACATTACATGTAGCCCTTCAGGAAGAAGTGGAAAGAGAAATAAAATTAATATAAATTGTGAAATGTTACAACAATTTCAATAGCAGTCCTGCTGAAATGTGAAAGTGACTCAAGGGAATACAAAAGTTGTGAAGTGGTACAGTACTGTGAATAGTAAAAAGAGAAAATGAAGTCATGTCAACACAAAGGAACCATTCTGCCTGTAACAAAACAGGACAGAGTAGCTCCTAAAGAATGATAGTTTGCTAGGGGAAGAAAAGGAGTTTCTGAGTTCTGAGTATCTCCAATGATTGCATTCCTATGGCATTACCTATGGTATAGCATTCTGTTCCAACATGGCAGAAGTTGTTGGCTTGGCCATCAGTTCATACATTTCAATGTGTATTAGTTAAAAACAAAAACTGACTTGATCTTCAATATTCCTAAAATGCTATTAAGCAAGCAAACAAACAAACAAAAAAACCCAAACAAACAGGAAAGATTATGCACTGAACTATATATGCCAAAAATTAAGCAAATATTTGCATGGAAAATTACCAGATGAGCTTCTGATCAGCTGTATTTTGAAAGTGTTCTTCTAATTCAGTTTTCATTTAAAGTACAAAACACATTGTGTTATATTTAATTTGAAGGGGGTTTAATAATAGGTTGCTAAAATATTGTAGTAGTTAATTAGCTTATTAAGCACCCAAAGAAGTAGTAGTTTTCCCACATCACATACAGCAGAAGCCTGCAGAGATATCACACAGAAGTACACATCACTATGCTTTATTGCCATAAAAGCTTACAGATAGCAGCAAATCCCAGTAAGTAGCTTGGGTGATTGAAGCCAATTAATCATATGCGCCTGTATTTCTCTCATTAGGAAGTTGCGAAGAGATTACCCATCCAAGATCCTGATGAACTTGAGCACAGCCCTGCTCTTTCTTAACCTGATCTTCTTACTTGATGGCTGGATTGCATCCTTTGACATAGATGGCCTCTGCATAGCTGTAGCTGCACTTTTGCACTTTTTTCTTCTGGCCACCTTTACATGGATGGGACTGGAAGCTGTTCACATGTACATTGCTCTGGTGAAAGTGTTTAACACCTATATACGGCGATACATACTGAAGTTTTGCATCATTGGCTGGGGTGAGTTCAGTAGCGTCAATATTTACATAGCATAGATTTTGAAATTATGCTATATAAAAACTGTCTATCACAAATGCAGAGCAGAATCAAAATTTGTGTGACATTTTCCACACGGTGGTACCTGAGTGCAGTAAACCCACTCTGTTGCGGAATTACTCTGTATTAATTCTGTGCAAATGCACCATAACTGGAACCCCGTGTCCAGAGCAGCTCACAGCCCAAGGAGGAGTGTGGAGACCAAACAGACTTTCCAGGGAGGCCAGAATGGGAGAGGGGAAATATTAGTGTCATATCAAATACGGAGAACCGTGGCACACAATGAATTCAGAAACTTTTGCAGTTACTACAAAGCCTATGGGGATCTTCGCATTGACTTTCAAAAAGCTTTCAACCCAACTTAAAGTTTCTTCCCAACAAGTACAAGACTATGGCAGAATCAGAAGCAAAACAAAACTTCCTGAGCTTCAGCACAGTGTTTAAACCACAGAGAGAGCCTGCCTGCCCTAAGCAGTGTACACAGCAGGACTGAAATGGAAAATATAATATTAAAAAATAACTGCAAGGCTCAGGCAGCAAGGCTTTTATTCTTCTTTTTTTTTTTTTCTGTATCAGGAATCTGTGCCCTCTGCTTGAATGCACATATTGTGTTTGAAATAATACAACACAATACAAAACCATTAACCTCATGGCTAGAGCATTGACCTCAGTCCAGCTGATAATTGATGTCTTTCCATTGGCAACTAGCATCCTCTTTGGCAGCCTCAGCAGAGGACAAGGACTGAGTGGTCGGAAAAGCAAATTAACCTCTTCCCCTTTGAATCTGTTTTGTCATAGCAAGGATAAGACATGTAAATAAGGCATGTCAGGAAATGTAGGTTTCTTTTGTGTGAGCTGTACCACTCTGCACAGAGTTCTCTTCTGTATAGCTGTCGATTTTACAAAAATATTCCCTTTACCTAATTATTAAGAAATAATGCATACACTTAACACACATTTACAGCTGCGAGAAGCAGTGGAGAAACTACAGGTTCAAGTTCACATTCCCCAATTCTCCAGAGTAATAAAGTGACACTAGCATCAATGAAAAAAGGTCCCCCCAAAAACTCCCAATATCATCCCTCCATTAGATCTCATTTTTGTAATAGTTTGTTAACCTTCTTCTCGCTATAAGAGCCTGCATGCAATTTCAAATTTGGTAACTAAGGGAGATTATTTTACTTTAGTTTCCATATTGCATACTTACAGGATGTTATGAGGCTTATTCAGTTAATACCCATTAATTTCTTTGATTACTATTTGAACTATTGTTTAAAAAATTGTTTCCTTCTACTTCTCTGTGCAGTTTTCTGACAGAACCACCTCAGGATAGTCTGTATTAATAAGGGTGGAGACATCAGTAATTTGGCTTTGCATGGTGATTTTGAAGTTTTAGGTGATTTGAAAGCAAGCTGCTAGTTTTCTTGTGTTACAGGTTTGCCAGCTCTGGTGATAGCAATTGTTTTTGCAAGTGCTAATACAAATGCAAGTCATGTATATGGCAAACAGTTATATGGCAAAGATGCTAATGGACAAGGAGGAGACAACTTGTGAGTATTTCTTTTAATCTCATACCATTTAGCATTTAAAGTATGAAAGAAATTGCACTGAATGTATGAAAGAAAAGTATGAAAAAACAGCATTGGTCAGATGCTTTGGAAAAGTTCCTTGCCTGGCAAAGCTGTCATTTTGTATTTTTATTATTGTTTCATGCTAAATATTCTGTCAGTTTGCTATTAGAGGAGCAAGCTAGGTCTCTCACACGGCCAGCTGCCAAATGGCTACCTCAAAAGGCTACCCATCCTGCTTATTCTGCAGAGATGTGAGTTCTCCTTTCACTCAAGTGACAGAAACTTGGGATTTTGACACTGAAAATCCAAGTTTTCCCATTCTGTTACTAAAGTATCCTATGCTTCACACAGGTGAAAGTGTGGAAGCTACACATACTGAGGCTAAGCTTTCCACGATGGCATTGCAGTCCCCACAACTTGTATCTGAGGCCAGATTTTCTGTTTAGCTTCAACAAAAATGCAGTACAACCCTCAGACTTCTGACATAGAATCATAGAATCATAGAATAGTTAGGGCTGGAAAGGACCTTAAGACCAACCCCCCTGCCATGGGCAGGGACACCTCACACTAAACCATGTCATCCAAGGCTCTGTCTAACCTGGCCCTGAACACTGTCAGGGATGGAGCATTCACAACTTCCTCGGGCAACCCATTCCAGTGCCTCACCACCCTCACAGTAAAGGACTTCCTCCTTATATCCAATCTAAACTTCCCCTGTTTAAGTTTTAACCCGTTACCCTTTGTCCTATCACTACAGTCCCTAATGAAGATGGGCTATGGTCATTTAAAATGTCACTAAACTTGATCCTCTTTACAAACAGAAAATAGACAAAGGTTTCATGTTAAAGTATAGCTCAGCATCGGTGATATCAGAGATAGATGGATGTTCCTTGTAGGCATATAAATAGTTGGAGTATAGTTTGCATTACCTAAAAATGATCGTATTTTTGTATTTTTTTACAGCTGCTGGATCAAGAATGAAGTTGTCTTTTATGTGACATGTGCTGGATACTTTGGAATCATGTTTCTGATGAATGTTGCCATGTTTATTGTGGTGATGGTGCAGATCTGTGGGAGGAATGGGAAAAGAACTAATCGAAGCCTGAAGGAAGAGATCCTGAGGAACCTCCGTAGCGTGGTCAGCCTGACCTTCCTCTTGGGCATGACATGGGGCTTTGCCTTTTTTGCCTGGGGTCCCTTAACTCTTCCTTTCCTGTACCTCTTCTCAATTTTCAATTCACTGCAAGGTAAGCCGATCAAATAATATTTGAACTGTTGCTGTCCTGGGACATACTACGTTTAGTGATTTGACTAGGAAACACAGATCCAAGCACTCTAGTTTTTCCCTTGATGCTAAACCGTCATTAGTTTCCCTTTATGTGGAATAATACCAACTACATATGGCTTGAATGTCTTAGTTAAAGTAATTAGCACTTCAAGGTCTTTTCCATAAAATGCACGGAATAATAAATAATGCTATTCCTAGCTGACAGTCTTCAGCGATCAGTGCTGAGATAGACGCTGTATGACCTTCAGCATTTTCTTTCACTGATTATAACACATATAGGAAGCCTCTTTACTTAATTTATTCCTGAAGGGAATCTGTAAAGCTCATAACTATTTTATTTAGGCATGAAAAGCTCATAAGACAAAATTCAGTCCTGTTCCAATGTGGATAAGTAGCACAAAGATATGGGATATCTTTTAGCTCTGTAAGGAAAATCCAGTGACTGTTGTCAGCTTTTTTTTGGTTGCCTTTAGTGAAGTTTTGGATATTTACCTTTCCAACATAGTTCATCTTTTTGAAAATGCTGGAAATTGTAATCAAACAGCCATAAATTACAGAATTGTATAGGTGACATTTAAAAGAATTTCAGCTCAGAGCTGAAATTTGCATTGTCCTTCAATGTCATTGGAGGAGCATGTGTTATGCCACACAAATACTGAGATAAGAAACACATTTTCTCAGGGTCAGCAAAATATCTTCCCTTTATGAAAAAAAGTACTTACTGTGACACTGTGTACATTATATCTCTTACAGCTGAGGTATATTTACTGTGCTAAAAGATTTATTGAGCATTTGCAGAAAGAGAATAATGTTGTAGGTTTTGGTATGGTTCAGTTTCAACCAAAAATACTTTGGTAAAATGGCAAAAGTTGTTTGCATGTGGTGTTCTTACTAAAGACTTGTTTTCCAAAGAACAGATTCTGATACTCCCCTGGCAGCATAGTAAAGTATTTGCTGCAGTGTGTCCCTGTTAGAAATTTAGAAGGGCCTAAGGAGATTAGAAGTATGCGAAGAACATGAAAAAAGATTGAAACTCTGAAAAGCATGCCAAGGACCAAATTGAACAAGTTCTCTGTAACCAGAATTTCCAGTGCAATCAATTAGTCTTGTATGTGCAGAGTGTACACAAGGTTGACCACCACTGCTTAAGTCTCTGTGGGGTAATAACACTGTTCAATGGAAAATGAATATTTGGAAGGCAGTTAAGCCAGGAGATGAAACTGAAAAAGCTGAGGAGTAAATGCAAAAGCAAGAGTGAAGAGCTTTTCACAGATTTTGGTAGCAATGATGGCACAGTATATGCTCAGGAATGTCATATAAAGCACAGGAAGATAACAATCCCATATCTCAAAATGCTTACTGCTGTGTCAGAAAGAGCTAGGCAAAGCTAAGGAAGAGGATATTTAAAATCACATATATCTGGTGCAGTGCACATGTAGCAGTAAGGGGATGGAATGGAGCAAAGGAAAAATTAGGATTTGTATCAGGAAGCATTTCTTAGCACCAAAAAGATGGGCAAAGTCTGACAAGTCTTTCATCAGTATTAGAATGAGCTTTTTTGAAGACCTCAGTAAATACGTTTATTCCCTCTCAAGTTTTTGAAACCTGCATGAGTATTTTAAGCTATACCTGCAGCCTCCATCAAGTTTTCTGTGCACTGTCAGTGAAAAAGTAAATTGCAGCAACTATTGGTGTTAGTGTACTTTGCTATTTCATCTACATAGGAAATGATTTTTCTCTCTTTGATGCTCAAAGTAAAAAAAAATGGGAACATCTTTTTTTGGCTGCTCATTTTATATGTATGCCTGGGCAAGCCAAATACCTTCAAGTCCAAACCAAGCCTAGGTCTGATTTGGCTCTGGGAAGCAAAACCAAAACTGTGCTACTAAAGCACATTGTAAACTTAATGAATAATGAAATACAGATTAAAAAAAAAAATCTAGAGACCAAGTCCAGACAGGGCAAAGGTAAAGTACTAATGCAGTACATTTGTTTTGTATTACTATAGGCATACACATTTTCTTTTTTAACCATTCAGAATGGTCCAGACATTCACTACAACTTAATTAAGCATCAATTTAGTAAGTTTGTAGGTGTGCAGAAGTACGAAGAGGTAATTTGGGCCACAAACAACTGCTTATCTCTAAACCTGTAAGAGCTGCTAATGATTGAATTGGGATTACTGTGTGCTTAAAACCACACAAAGAAATGTTTTACTGAACAGAAAAACTGTAGTGCAGCAGAGCTTGTGTATGGGATGCGTTAAGGTATGTTTGCCTTTCCTAAATTGTGCTGCTTTGGTTTGGTTTGGTTTTTTTTCCCTATCAGCTCTTGAAAAACTGCAAAAAGTTTTCCATGTCACAACTTTTACCTGAAGTTAACTGATCTCAGTGCTCTGAGCCTGGCGTGATGGCTGTAAGCAAATAGAAGTCCAGTTCAATGACATGCATTCATGCAAAATTAGACTTTAACGCTTTGGAGGAAAGAGGATAATTTTATACTCCAGAGCACTTTTTTCCAAGCTGTACCCTGCCATTGTGCTCTACCAGCTGAAACATAGTAGGCATTAGTATACAGAACTATTCATGATGATCATAAAGGCACTGTTTTAAGGGACGGTACTTAACCACATTTGCCCACATTAAGTAGTATTTATCCATGTTTAAGATATAATCATGAGGGATTTGGCAGTGACATTTTGCCATCAGGTGTTCAGCCTCAGGCTAGCTCTCTCCTAGAGAGTAAGAGTAAAACAAGAACAGGCCAAAACAGAGGATGGAAGATTCCACAACTAGTGACTACCTGGAAAGGGCCAGGAGCATATGAGACTTCCAACTTCTATATTTAGCTCCAAAATATCTGATGAAATTGTATCATATGCCCAGTTAAGACCTCATTTATAGCATGGTAGATGCTTACCTTTTGTCTTGAAAATAAAGATTATACAATTGCAAGCAAAAAATAAACTACAAAAACATTCTTAAACACATTTATTGCAATTGCATGCACAAACCAGGAAATTTTCTTAAGAAGTATCTGGACACCTAATTAGTACTTGTAAACATATTCTTACCATTTTCATAGTCATTTCAAGTACATACATGAGATGCACATAAATCAAAGTGCTCTTTTCCAGGGCATTCTTTAGTGCCAATTACAAGACTTTCTGGTTGTAAAGGAATACAGCCCAGAGTTCTATACATACAGAACAGGAGAAGATAAAATTATCTCCTTACTAATATAAGTGCCTGTATTTACTTTGCAATTTGTCTCTAGCAGTCCTGTGAAAATACTCATTTGGTTCAAGGACAAAACCTTTTAATTATTTCCCTTCCAGCCAAAAAAATAATTAGAAGATCCACACTGAGCTGGATCTAAATCAACAGTGTCAATAAAAGGGGTCCTATTCTCTCTCTTTAGATTTCCCTTCTTCTCTCCAGACACTGACACGGCAGTTAGAGGTTGGAAAAACTTTAATTAATTTCCATACTTCCTAAAGGAGGCAGAGATGACAATAACAAAACTTTAAAATTGTTTTCCTTCACTTACAGTTCAGTCTTTGTTTTAGCAGACATTCATTAATCTGTTTATTTATAAATACATGCTTCATTTGCTGTTTATTTGCTTTTGTCACAGGTTTGTTTATATTTGTATTCCATTGTGCAATGAAAGAAAACGTGCAGAAGCAATGGAGGAGACATCTTTGCTGTGGCAGATTCCGACTGGCAGACAATTCAGGTAAAAGCAATTCATAGCTCCCCTCCTTAGGTGCTGCAGTAGTCTATTAAAGTCCAGTAGTCTATAAAAGTGAACAGCTTGCTATGTTATTTTTAATATAACTCAATGTAAGCCAGAGATGTGGAAATATAGATTAATCACAGCCTGTCATTTCACTTCAGTACTAACACTTGCCAAGGGACTTTTCATATACCACTTCATAAAAATGCTCAAGCCTTCTCTGTCAGTTTTCCACTGAAGCAGCTGGTGAATTTTGTGCTATAAGCATGGTTTCAAAAGAGCCTTTTGGACCTGGAAAAAAAAAAAAAAAAAGAAGTTCCAGAGATTCAAACTCTGTTATTCAAAAGCCAGTCTTTGTCTCCTACATTACAGCATGTTCGATGAATTGTGTGGACTGTGAGGTTGATCTAGGAGCAATTATTAAAAAGCAGATAGAAATACTCTGACTTCTTTTGTTTTTATCTTTGCCTGTTCAAACTGTTCTGCACTTGACCGTATAATTCAGGGAGACCAAAACCATAGAAAATTCCTTTAGGAGAAGCCTAATGAGGTTCCAGGATTGAAGCTCATCTTCATCTGCAACTCTCAGAGAGCAAGGAGAGCAGTTGGTTTGGACGCTTAAAAGTACACCACTTGGGACACTGCATTTATAGTCTCTTGTACCTTTGGCAGTCTCAGATGGCATTAGACTCCTATGTTTAGGAACTGGGTTTTGTTTTACTGTCTGATGGAACCATATGATTTTTTGCTCATATGGTTCTTGCTCAATGACCAGCCTTGAAATCTACAGTTGATGTAAGGTGGCATAAGCTCATTGCCTAGTAAGGTGAGCTGGTATATCCTGGATAATAACAGTGCTCCAAATATCCTTGTGTCCTTTCTCTCTTGGCATCCAAGGTTTGTTTTCAAGTTTTTAAGTAACCTTTTTGCCATGGCGACTTCTGCTTTGTCTTGCTCTGTTTTGTTAGGGAATGCATTGTCATTGTACACTATAAAGTATTTCTGCTTTCACTTTGTAGTAAGAAAATCTGATTCATGATTTTAAAGAGTTAATACAAATTAGGAAAAGCATATTCTTTCTGATCAGGCATCCAGATTGTTTCATCTGTTCAGTTTCCACGTGGTTCATGCTGTAACTCCTGAACTGGAAGACACGGATCACATTATTTCCAGATTTTTATGCTGTTGTTGTGGGTATGATTTGAGTACTTCAGTGGTATAGTTATGTGCGGCCATTATGCCTAGCACTAACCAGTCCAACCCCATCGGCTGGTTTTATTGTGCACGAACCTGACATAGTTTTCCGGCAGAATACTGAAACATAGCCAAATGTGAATTTGCATACCTATCCAGTTGAAGTATACTTCAGGGCATGCTGTGATAAGGCAAAGAAACAAACAAGTTAAAGCCTTGCAGCACTGCCACAGCTAGATCAGAGAAATAGTAACCGATACCCTAAAGCAATGATTTAAGATAAAATATTTGTCTTGATTTGTATTTCTTAAGCATAAAAGAGGCTACCTAATAGGAAAAGGACAGGCTGTGTGTAAGAAGCAACATTAGGAAATGTACCTGATACTTGAAATGTTCACAATTGAATAAATTAGGCATTTAGTGCCTATGGTAATTATTTATGTAAAAATTTTCAATCATTTTTAGATTGGAGCAAAACAGCCACCAATATTATAAAGAAGAGTTCTGATAATCTTGGGAAATCCCTATCCTCTAGTTCCATTGGCTCCAATTCAACCTACTTAACATCCAAATCAAAATCTACAACAAATACATATTGCAAACGGAACAGCCATACAGGTGAGTTCTTGCCTCTCTGAATATGTAGTTTCATGTTAAAGGCAAAATAGGGATTTCTACTCAAAGGTTAATGTGAGAAAATTTATCCATTTGTATAGGTTTGGTATTTTTAAAATGTATGTTACTGTTTAATAAGAATCTTACTATTATTTTCTCAGTAACCGATATTCAGTGCATCCATTAGCGTGAGGGGCTATGCGTCAAGTGTTTTAAGAGTGTATGTCTTTCCTGATTATTGAGATTGTACATGAAGAACATTTGCTTTGAATGCAGTAAAAATGACCAGTGTCTTAGAAATACCCCAGTGTACCTGAGCTTGCTTTCAGGGCTGCTGTTTGCAGCCATGCTGGAGTACACATCTGGGGCTTGCCTCACCAGGGTACCTGTCCGTGCTGCCACCTCAGGTTTGATGGGCCACACACACAACTGCCCTAAGCAAGCTGTCTTCAGTACTCTCTCCTATGAAGGCACACTTCTGTCAGCAGTCTTCCACAGACAGCATCTATAATAGTCACTGATCACAATGCTGCTCATAATTTAATAGTAGAGGAGGAGAGCATTGTCCACTGCAGAGCAACCTCTCTTCTGCAGACAGAGAATTCCCATTTGCACTTGTGGCAGATAAACATCTAGACCCTTAGTATTGGGATTAATGATAAAAATATGCTTGAATGTTTTGCTGGACTCGACTTTCTATCAGTCTGACAATTAAAGAGACTTAATGCTGGGGCTTTTGAAATGCATTCTTAAAGCAAAACAATAAAACAGTTCCAGATAAAAAGTGAGTAGGTTAAAAGAAACTTGCATTTAGGAAGAAGCTCATGCTTTCTTCAAAAGTGGTGAGCTTAATCCCATAGACAAGTAAAAGGGACTGCCGTTGGTAATGTAATCAGAGTCTGTAATGTGATGGTTTGTTGGACGTTAAGGGAATACCACAGTTTTCTCTCTGCTTTTAAGATTCTAATACATTTTGCTTTGACCTCTGAAAATACACATTTTTTTGTGATAATCCAAAGGAATTTTTGATAAGGTTAGGTTTTTATATGATGACGTTCTTCTCACATGTTAAAGTAATAGAAAATAACGTTCAGATTCTGATTTTTAATACAGCTAAAGTTGTTTGATGTCTTAGCTAAATTGCAAACAAATAATATAATAGCTACATGTCTTGGCAACTCTTGTTAATATGGTTATAATGTGCTCTCTGGAATTGACACAAGCGTTCATGTGTTTGTGGTATAGATAATGTCTTCTAAAGCCCTTTCCTCATCAGTGGTGGAGCGTTACAGGTAAAATGAGAATTGCTTTTGTTGAATGCATGGGTCAAACAGCAGGGTGGAGGGACGTGTCTTGCATGATGACCTCATTGACACAAAGTACTTTTCTAATCAGAAGCGCTGCTTGTTTCTCAATATTACATCTTGCACCATTGATGCTGAATCAAAGGATAAGTGAGCTTCGGAGTCTGGGTGTCTGCACTCTGCATGGGGCATAAAGCATTTGGAAGATACCTTTTTAGAAACTAGACCATGTCCTGACATTAATGCTGTGTACAGTAATCTGTGGAAAAGAGACTGAGTTGAAATACCCATACACAAAAAATACAATAAAAAGCAAAAACAATCTGATTGAGTCCTAGAAAATATTTTCATATTTTTTTAAAGTTATTACAGGGATTTCAAGATACTGTATTTCTATTTGGTCTATGGCCATTATGGAATTAGTCTTCTAGCTATGGCTTTTCATATCTAGTCACACCCAAAATAACTCGGAATGAGAAACTATATATGCCTGAAAGCCATGCTGTGAACTGCTGGTTGACTGCAGAATGCACCGATTGGAACACGAATATTGAGTGGACCCCACTGGGTAAAGGAAAAAATCACTTCAGCATCTTGTGGGACAGCTGTCTAGGGGCCTGATACAAACTTGTAGATAGTACCATATGTGACACTTATGTGAATTAAAAGTTAAGATTATTTCTGTGGATAATTTCGTGGTACAACTACCAATTACTTCAGTGATACAGGATTTTAACCCTGTACTTAAGTGCAAAGCCCATTGAGCTAAAAAAAAATTTAAGAGCCTCCCAGTGGTTTCAAAGGCCTTATGTAATTCCTGTGCATACAACTTTCATGAGGAAGTAGCTGGTATTTAACGTAATGATGCCTTGTGAGAAAAAGTGTACATATTTGCAAGGAATTTCAAAAACTTTCCCTAAAGACTGAGAACTAACTTTGTAATAAGATTAAATATGTAGAAAAACTTCAAAATGTAGTAGCATTGGCTAGTAAATGCATACATCTGAAAGGCACACAGTACTCTGCAGGTTGCTGTTGGACATGGAGTTATTTGCTGCAATTCATAGATATTATTGCGTGCTTTGAAAAAAAATCATCCTGATAATGCCTGAACATGCCTGTTTCTTTTGTCACAAGTAAAATTGTGTTGATTTCTCACTCTGCAATCCATTTCTCCTTTGCAATGCTTTTTATGGCTTGATATCATGACTTCTGCAGGGGTGGGTTACTTTTCCGTTTACTTTTAGTTAATTTATTTCTCTAAGATTTTTTTGTATGAAATCATAGTTTAAGTGATAGGCTAAATTCTTAAATTATCCTTTAGCAAGGAATTTTTGAGGGTGATTTCACTAGTCTTGTAAACAGCCATCAAAAATGTCACTTGTAGAAAACACTGCTTCACAGGATACTCCATCTTACTGTTGGCTTGCAATGGTGCAAAACTTGCCTGGGTTAAGAAAATTAATTCCAGCTTTATTCACTGCGGTGGAAGAGATAAGAGAGCTCATTGGCACTTTGTACTTGAGAAAATGAGATAACAGGCTCTGTCGTCTCATTGCTCACTACATGAGCTCTACCTACTGACCGTTCTCTGAACAGCAATACTGTTAGCCGCTGAAGCACTTCGCCAGCCCGGCTGGGAAATGCCTTTGCTCCTCTTTCTCTTCAGCTCCACCCTTGGCTGGTAGCACCTGAAATGTGAGGGGGTGCCAGTTTTCTGCATCTTTTTCTCCCCACTGTTGTTCAGTACCCTCTATATTATGGAAAAAACAAAGGGATGCTCAGCAAGTCAAAGTTTAGGCCAGTTTCAGTCTGGCTGTCTGCTTTAAGATGCAAGTCATTTTCTGGTATATTTTGCACAGAGTGCATTATTTCTGTGCTACCCTAAAACCTCAGCTACTGAAATAATTAAATCCTTTTATTGTCATTTTCCCCTACTTTATTGTGTGGAGATGTGATTTACCAGATGTTAAGGAGGTAACCCCTATTCCAGTGCTAAAAACATCAAAATGTTTTTAGTTTGTAAGATTCAAAGCATCAACAGTAAATTAATGTATTTAGATAATGCCAGTAGTGGCAAATGAAGGCATAACTATGTGGGAATGACACTGTTAGACCTGTTAAACTATGAGTTTACTTAAGAAGCTCTAACTTCTTGTTGTTGCTCTTTCCCCTTTCTAGAGAATGTTTATCTTGACAAGCCATCTTCAAAATTTGCCCAAGATGATGGAGAACAGACCTCAATTATCCCTGTCCACCAGGTTATTGACAAGGTCAAGGGATACTGTAATCCTCACTCCAACAACTTCTATAAAAATATCATCATGTCCGACACATTCAGTCACAGCACAAAGTTCTAACTGGGCTTCTGAATTTTTTAAACTGAAGGAAGACAGAAAGTCTTTTTTGAACTGCCAGTACTGGATGTCATAAAATGTGACCTGTTTAGTTATTTTTTCCCAGTTTATAATATTCTCCTGTTAACAGCTCCCACTCAAGGACTGATTTCTCTACCTTTTTACTGTTGTGGAAAAAGTCAATTTTTCCACTATGGTATTGAGCTGTTTTTAAATGCGCGCCAGCCAACATGATGCCTGGACAGCTAATTGTAATCCTGTGTAAATATTTCTTAAAACTGAAGAGCCACAAGCCTATCTCTAAATTATATAGTCCAGACAGAAGCGAGTCTTAACTCCTGATGAAAATAACAGACGTGACATGCAGTACAGAAAAGCAGTTTACTGATGGTCTTTTTCTGTTGAAAAATACGTATTTTTCCCTATGACACTTGTTAGATTCTTGCTTCTTTACTGTCTAGTGCTGTCTGTTCTTTATTCATAAGTGAAAAACCCTACCACCAGTGTTAAAGGGTTATTTTAAACCATTTTTCACTAAATAGACCTAATCATGCAAATCTTGCTTGCCAAAAGAGTATGTGCTGTAAATTCAGGCTATATTATATCCATGTACAAAGAAATACACGTATTACATAAATGTGCTGGCTGAGAAAGTCATGGAGGTCATTAGTAACTTTTGCAGATTTTAAACCCATTGATATATATGGAAACACAGTCATATGTATCATTTGCATCTGTGCACAACAAGTACACAGGTAAATCCAAAGTTTACACAAAGTCATGTTTCAACGTTTATTGATCGGTATGTATAAAACAGGGCATCTCCAGTCAATTCTATGTTTAATATTCTTTTTCACTAAACAAAATAGAAGACATGCAGCTATATGTAGATGTATAAATATGTATGTAGGACTCTCTCCACACGTTTTTATAATGCACACAGTAAAATGACAGGAAACCACAATGTGTACCACAGTCTTAAAATGAACGGTGCTAAAACGTAAGTATTTAAATGCAAGATGAATACTTTGTAAACCCATGGGTTCATTTGTCAGTTTCTGTACTTCAGATTGCTGTATGTATAGACACCTCCATCAGATGGCATTGCAACATTAGAATAACCTGGAATACATTTACCAGTAATAAATAAATAACATCTTTCTGGGCACATAATGTTATCAGTATCAGTATTCCTCTCCTGCCCCTCTGTTGGTTGACTTGATTGAGGTTGAGGCACAGAGTTTAAACAGCATTTAGGCAACATTGGGGAATTTCACATAGCTATACTGTGTGCACAGCGACATTGAGTTGTTTGTGTGCAGAGAACAAGAACATAAAAGAACTTGTTCTAATAAATGTGTGACACATTAGCATGTGGCCATGACTGCCAGAAAGCATGTCTTGCCCCATGACAAGTTTTATAACAATTGTAACTGCACATGTTGCTGAAGGAATAGGCCAAAACAGCAAAGGTGTTTTTAAATACTGTTTTCAGAGGAGAATGTTTCCTCATGGAAATTTTCATTTTTGAAAAGGCTTTTCTTTTTTTTTAACCAAAATTATTTTAGCCAGGTATTTATTTATAGTATTCAGAAGGGACCAGAAAGTTGTGCTGAGATTTTTCAGTTGCCAAGCAGGTGGATGTTCAGTGATTAGGGATGTGGATTTGTGCCTCTCTTTGCTCTTTGCATGAGATCACTTAATGCTGTGATCATGTGCAGAGATCATTTAATGCTGTGACTGCACAAATGGTGTATTTTCCTTGGCTGCAAATCCCTGGTGGAAGGAGGATGCCCTGATGGTATTCTGTCCATCTGACCGCAGTCACTACATGGACCATAATGACCTCAGTCTCATAACTGCAAATACTTACATGGTGGTGTGAATGAAAGTCAACCTGATTGATTAACTTAAAATCTAATTATTAACAGAGATGAGTGTTGTCAGATCATCTTTAGTAAGGGAAATGATTTAGGGAGAGATTATGTACAAGCATTTACTGAACTTATATTTATCATCCCACTTGCTTACCTACTGTAGATAATAGTGTTCACATGCAGCTTACTGTGAGATTTCTACCTGATTAAGGTGTTCAGAAGTGAAGGATGACCAGACATTCCTGAAAAATGAGGAATCAATAAAATGTAACAGATTAGTAAAATATAAATAAAAAGCAAACACCGTATCCTGACTGAAGCTGAGCTGTAACCTATTAGTTTAATGTATAGCTACCTATATTTTTGCTGAATTATTTTTTCTCCTTTTTTTTTTTACTACCATGTAGTAATCTTAAACTGTGTCAGTTAGATGCTCTTGAATGCTCTCAGTTCTACAATGTAATATTCCACTTTGTAGTTGACATGCTGTAACCTCCCCTGTATATATTTATTTATTTGTGAGGTTAAATATGTCAAATATATTTAGCTCTATAATGACTGTTCTTGTACGTTAAAACTGAGCTTCTGCTTCATCATAGAAGAAGAGGGAGAGAATAATTTCTTATATGTTTTTTCCAAACACCTTGTGAAACAATTTACTGTAGTTCTATCTTTTATAAGTGTGAGGAAACATGTCAGTATAATTTGTAATATTAGTCAGTGGAATATAGTGTAACAGGTTTGAAGATGAACTAAAGTGGAAAGAAATATTTTCAAGTAAACATTCTTGATGTTAGTGTTCCAAGTAATTAAAGTCTTTTAATAGTGAATGGTTGGGTTTTTTTAATTTTTTTATTTTCCTTTTTGTGTTTAATGGCAAAAATCATTCAGTGGAATTCTGGAAAATAATCTTGTGTTTATTAAGTATGTGAGACAGGTATATGCCTAGCCAAAATGTTGGAAATAAATGTGCAAGACTTACTTCATCTCATCAGAGGAATGCATTTTGCAGAATATAATTTTTCCTTTCATGATTTACTCAGTGCCACATCAGTGAATGATCTGAAAGTTATGCAAGTTCATTTATTTATGGCAACAGCCATGTCATAGAAATGAAAGGAAAATCAAGGCAACAGACAATATGCTGGGATGATCTTCTAGAGGTAACACAAATGAATAATCTAAAATTCTGGAGTTATTTCTGTTCATGTGTTTCTTTCCAGCTGACTATATTCTCTCATTATCAGTAACTTGATTCTACTTGTAATCATACTTTGACTGACCACTGCTGAAACATTATAGTCAGCTAATCACTTGATTAGTGCACACTAATGTATAAACGTTAAATTTAACACAGTAATGGCCTAGCTTCAAATATTTACCTTTAAAGAACGCAGAAACTGGCTGAACTGGCTATATCAGCTCTGCTCCCCTATATTTCAGTCTTATCACAGAAAGTGCACAGAATATGAAGACAGCAGTAATACTTTTTAGAAAGCAATCAAAAAAACCCGTGTGATAAGTGGCATTTGTTAATGAGGATGATGAGTGTGCCTGTGAATGATCTGTCCATGTGCCTGTGGACAGTGAACATTACCCTTGAGCTTTATGCTTTGAACAGTGTGGGCGGACCCTCTGAGGGAAGGAGCCAGGTTTTTTTCCCCAAGGAGGATCTTGGCAGATGCCAAACTTGTAAAGAGTGATCTGCAGTGTTTGGGGGTGGATTTATATTTCTCCTCATTTCATCACTTTTAAAATATCAAGAACAATTTTATTTTAAGCCTCTACTTTTAACAGCTTCCTACTGTAACCCATTGAAGTTACATAAAATGCCACTTCATTTTATTACTTTTGAAAGCCTGATCTATAATCAGACACATCTATGTAACCACAGGGACAGCTACTGAGTTACAGGGCAACAGTGTGTCATTCATGGAGCCATTATAAAAAAAGTTGTTATGCACTTACTATATATAAAGACCTAAAACTATATATGGGTCAGCAAATTAGGCAGAGGGCTTAGAAGTTAATGTCAGGGAAAGCAATCATGCAAACCAGGTTGTGGAACAGCCATTTCACGCCCAGTGCTCCAGCTGCTTCTATGCTAAGGAGGCTTTTGCGTTCACTGCTTAGCTGGTCTTTGGTCACTCAGTCCATTTAATTTTCAGATCTCCTGACCCCATCCTGGCACTCCCATCCTCAGGACAATCATTTGCTGCAGTGCTAGGGGAAGGGTAAGGAGAAGAGAAATAAAGAGAGACTGAAAGGGAAAGGGTAGTTGTCAAGGCCTGCGCTGCATCTTCTTACACTTTCTACATGAGTTCTCAACCCTTCCACAGGATGTTACCCTGACCAGTGATATAGGCAGACCATTGGAGTAGGTGGAACACACTGCTATGGCTATTTGTGCACTATCAATTAAAACTAATGTTTTTGACCCTCCAGCTTTAAGCTGAAGATCTGCTATGGTTCTTCAAGGCAGCAACTCCACTCTTTCCGTGCTTGGAGACTAACCTAACAATGCTATCTGTGAGTTTAGGAAGAACCTAATGCCCCATCATGATGAGAAATCAGTCTGATAAGGTTCAAGTACCAAACCAGAAATAGCTAAATAAATCTTATGGAAACCTTTTCTGGAAAGATAGGCATGCCTCAGATACATCTGTTTGCTCGAAACCAATGCTGCTCTTGGTCTAAGATTAAGCTCAGATTTAGTACTTACGAAGGGAGCACATTGTGGTGATATGTAACAAAAGGCATCTGACAGCTATGTGAATGGCATGGTTTTCTCGAGGTGTATTGAATGACCTACCTTATATATGCCAGCTTGGAACTTTAGCATGTACAAAATAGCCAAGACTGGGTGTTTTGCATCCAGACTATTGTCGTAAGAGTTCTCAAAATACAGCTTTAGATAGAAGAGTTCTCAAAAATCCCAGCAGTATTCCGTTCTCCTCTCTGAAGTGTATGAGAAAGCACAAATGCTGATAACTCTGGTATGATTTTTCCTGTCACTGCCAGGCTTTTCCTGTCCTGGGAGCTCACTGAAGCAACGGAAGAGGGCTGTAGTAGGGGAGTGCATCCTGCTCTCCCCAAAGGGCACAGGGATCCCGCTGTCCCTGTCATCCTGCATTTTGCAGTGCTGCAGTTCCAAGTGCAGTAAATGCAATAATATTACGCATTTACAAAATGCTACTCTGGTTTTCTTTCCCGCTTGCCTGGCACGACCGCTCTTACTTTTCCAGCAGAGGGCAGTGGCATATTGCTCGTGGTAAAGATGTTAAAATCAAGTGAAAAATGCACCAAGATTCTTCCACATTCTTCCACAGCACAGAGATAAGTAGGAGAGTTCGTATCAGGTTTGTCTATTATTTAGCAATCTGTTACATCACCGGATAAAGCGAACACTCTGTGCTTGGGGAAATAAGGGGAGAGAGCTGTCTGCCTGCATTTGGGCATATTTAGTGGAAAGAGCAATACAGAGTTTCTGTATTTTCTCTTGGTGGTTGCTACATTTCCTCCTTTTTTGCTGTAAGGGATGCAGTGGATTTAGAAAACTGCTGCACTGCTGTCAGCTGAGCAAACAGAGCCAGCTCACCATTTCAGGCTTGCACACTAGCTTATTCCAGTACTGGGCAAATGAGTCGATCTGCTGGGCTGCCATCCTGTGACTCACAAATTCACTGTACGCATAAGTGTCCAGGGAGGGAAAACAAAACAGCAGCCCTCTGTTGACACTGGCACATAGGTCCATACCTCCCTATCATTTTTTCCCTCCACTGCATAGGGACAGGATCTGCTGTCAGCTGGGTCCTCTGCTCCACATAGTCTTTCCCCTATTACCAGGTCAGCTCAAGCAAGGTGCAGAACGGCTCAGCTACACGCTTGGCTGTACAGCTGCCCCCAGTGCTGCTCTGTTTTAGGGCAGGACTGAACAGAAAGCTGCTCCACTGGAAAATGGCACCATGTCAAAATTAAATTGCCTTGTCTGCAATTCTGGTAAGATCTTCAGGGAAAAAATCTGAAGCTGTTTGAATCCCCAACATCTGTGCTTGCCCCAGGAGTCTTATTGGCATGTCCCTTTCACCCCACACCTGCACCAGCACCAAGCTGGCACCAAGATACTGGGAGACAGGTGATCTGGGGCAGATGTTGGGGAATGCAGCAAAGGACATGACCTGCTTTAGCCTCACCTGGTTTTTTTTTGGAAAGAACCCATAGGTGTGTCTGCTGTGTCTATGGGAAGGAGCACTGGAAAGAGGGGCCCAGGACCAGTCAGGACCTGGAGCAAGGCAC